GGTATCGATGCATTAGATGTGTATTAGGTGCCCTAATTGGTTACCTAGGGTATAAAACGCATGTACTGGGGTGCAACTTTTGAGACACTGCTTTGGGCTGAAAGTCCCCCTTTGTCTCCCTTTTTTCTATAGTGCACTAGAATAAAGCTGGTTTTGGCTCTAAGTCTCGTCTCAGGCTCTGTTTGGCTCGGGTCTGGGGTCCACCCGGGTTTGACTGTTTGATGGGTTTGAGCTGTTGACTGGCTGAGTTCAGTATCAATGACACCCAGCTCAGCTCTTGTAAATTCAGGACTGTGGCTTCTTTTATAGGGTCTTTCCATCTCATCTTTGGTCGTCCTTTTCTTTTTCTACCTTTGACTCACTCTAGCATTGACTGTCTTCTCCAGGAAGTTTTATCTTCTCATGATGTGCCCAAAGTATGACAGCCTCAGTTTGGGTAAACTAATAATAGCAGCCTTATTAAGACAAGAACTGTAATCAGCTGTAGATCACACTGCACCATTTTATTTGTGAGTTATTTGAATCAATAAGGGCAAATTACTAGCCCCTTCCCCTAGTGGCATGATCCAGATACAAGTTAGTCTTTCCATACAGCTTTTAGAAAAAGTGGGAGATCCATTCAGCAGTTTGGCTCTAGGTAGTAACAATCCATGTTCCACAATGGCAAAACTTTCCCAGAAGTCATTCCCCCATGACTCACGTCCTGGCCCATAGACACTGTGTGGTGGCTGGTTGTTGTTACTGACTGTTAAGTAACATGTAGACTGGTTATGTTATGTTATGTTAGTTGCGACGTTGTGCCCAACCCATCATGACCCCATGGACAACATTCCTCCAGGCTCTCCTGTCCTCCACCATCCCCCGGAATCTACCTAAGCTCACACTGACCGCTTCAGCGACTCCATCTAGCCACCTCATCCCCTGCCATGGACTGGTTACTGGTTGCATTTGGCTATAATGCCAAATCCAACCAAACACTATCAACCAGAATTTGTGGAAAACTTAACATGACACTCATTCAGGTCTATGCTCCAACAATAGATGCTGAAGAAGAAGAAACTGAAAAGTTATATACAGGTGTTCAAGAGGAAATTGTTAAGACACCAACACAAGGCATGCTGATAATCCTAGGTGAATGGAATGCAAAAGTAGGAAACAGAAAAAAATCGAATGGTGTAGGGGAATTTGGCCTGGGGGTAACAAACACAACAGGAGACCTATTCATAGAATTCTGGGAAGCCAACAATGTGTTTATTGCAAATACATACTCCAACCAACCAACCAGATAACTGTATACATGGATATCATGAGAACAGTGCTAAAATACAAATTAAATAACATCCCTGAGAAATTTGAAGTCAACATAAAGAACAGATTTGCATTATTCAGCTTAATTGACTGTGAACCCAAAGAACTGTATACTGAAACCAGAGACATTATTAGGGAAGAATGCCAAAAGACACTTCCTGTAGCAAAAAGGAAGAAAAAGCCTAGATGGAAGAAACACAGTTGCTAAGGACAGGTGAGAAGCAAAAGGTGACAGAAATAGGTACAGAATTGTGAATGCAACTCTACTATCGCAGAGAGACAAAAAGAACTACAGTGGTACCTCGGCTCACGAACGCCTAAGTTCACAACTAAATTGGGTTGCCAACAGAAATTTCAGAAAAAATTGCCTTAGGTCGCGAACTCCACATCAGGTGATGACCATGATCGTGCCCATCTTCCCTGCATGAGCACAATCTCAATCGCAGCCATCTCCCTCCCCCCTCCTGAGCATGATCGCTATCGCACAATTATCGTTTGGACTCTCCCTCCAAACAATAACCTCCCCCCTCAGCTAAGTTAGTGTTCTCTATTGCACTGTACTTTGTTACTTTGCTGTTCTTTGTTACTTTGTTTCAAATTTTTGTAATTAAAAAAATATTTACAGAATGGATTAACCTTATTTACATTGAACCTTATGGGGGAATTTGACTCGGCTCACGACCATTTTGGGTTGCAACTAGAGTCGTGGAACGGATTAAGTTCATGAGCTGAGGTACCACTGTATTACAATGACCAAAGCAAATAAATAGTAGTGAACAAAAGAAGAGCAAAAACAAGAAACCACTTCCAGATGATCCAAAAAATTCAAAGGAAACTCAGACTGAGATTAGGAATGCTAATAGACAGTGGACACACTATCTGACCAAGGGAAAGTAAAGAAAAGGTAGAAAGAATATACAGAAGAACTATACAGAAAAGACAGAGAAAGATGGACTCATTCAGAGGGGAAACCTATGAGGAAGAGCCTGCAATATTAGAAAGCAAAGTGAAAGCTGCTCTGAATGCACTTGGAAGCAATAAAGCCCCCAGAGTAGACAGGATTCCAGGAGAACTATTCCAAGCAGTGGAGACTGAAACAAGAATACCCAATGAGTCTGGGAAACAAAAGAATGGCCCACAGACGGAAAATGTTCAATATACATTCCATTCTCAAAGAAAGGAGATGCAAAAGGGCCTGTCATAGACTCTCTGTCCAAGCTACCTCACAGTGTTGTTATTGTGGGGAGAAGATTGCGAACAAGAGGAGAATTATGTAACCTGACTTTAAGTTCTTTGTAAGAGAAAAAGGCAGGATATAAATAGAATGGATGGATGACAGAATGAGTGCAGCAATGATAGGAGTATTTCAGTAATTTCCCACTCAGGCAAAGTGATGATCAAGGTGTTACCACAAAATATTTTACCCTGTATGGAGTGAGAAATGCCTGACATTCAAGCTGAATTCTGAAAAAGAGGAGGTACTTGAGATCATATCACAAATATACACTGGCTACAAGAGTGAGCCAAGGAATTTCCAAAGAAGATCAGGCTGTGCTTTACAGACTACAGCAGCCTCTGACAGTGTGGAACACAAGAAATGAAAGAAATGCCTGATGTGCCCTGATTGCCGTGATGTTAACCTTCATTGTTGATGTGAAGCTTCTCTTAGGACAGAATATAGAGAAACAAAATGGTTTTCTATAGACATAGGTGTGAGGCAATGTATATTTTATCTCCCTTCCTGTTCAGTCTGTACACAGAACATACCATACAGAAAGCTGAATTAGGATCAGAGAAAGAAGTGAAAATTGTCAAGAAGATACATCAATAATTTAAGATATGTAGATGATACCATACTGTTGGTAGAAAGTAGCAATGACTTGAAACAACTCCTGATGAAAGTGAAAGATGAAAGCATAAAAGCGGGACTGCAGCTGAATATTTAAAAAAATCAAAAATCATATCCACAGAAGACTTACAGAACTTTACTGTTAACAATGATGAAATGGAAATTGTGAAAGATTTCACATACCTCAGTTCAGTCATCAATTCAAAAGGAGACTGCAGTCAAGAAACCTGAGGAAGACTGAGACTTGGGCAGCAATGAAGGAACTAGAAAAAATCATCCTGTGTAAGGATGTTTCACCAGAGACCAAGGCCAAGATCATCCACGCTATTGTATTCCTGATCACTATGTAGCCTTGTGAAAGGTGGACAGTCAAGAAAGCTGACTGGAAGAAAATGGATGCATTTGAAATATTACGCTGCAGGACAGCTTTCTGAACACACTGGACCCACAGAAAGACAAGCAAGTGGGTCCTAGTTCAACTCAATTCAGAACCTTCCCTAGAAGCAAACATGACAAAATTCAGTCTCTCATAATTTGAACACATCAGGAGAAGACAAAACTTCCTGAGAAGACAATCATGCTAAGGAAAGTCAAAGGCAGAAGAAGAAAAGGTAGACTGAATATGAGAAGGATTGACTCTATAAAGGAAGTCACAACCTTGAATTTACAAGAACTAATCAGGGCTGTCATGGATAGGACATTGTGGAGATCTTTCATTCATTGAGTCGGCATAAGTGGGAGACAGGGAGCAAATATTGGCATTGTTTCCAGTGAGAACAGGCATGCTGGTAACATGGTGAGTGTAGTATTCCTGCAGGCCAGAATGGCTTAGGTCTGAATTCTGAGAAGAGTAAGTCACTAGAAGCAAACTTGTGCTGGTTTTGGCAGTCAAGTGGGGCTCAACTCAGTTATGCCCCTCTCCAAGGCCTCTCATACAAGCCAGCCCTGATTTGGAACAGTTTGTAACAGAGGCTGCTCTTAAAGCTTAAGAGGCCAGTGCTCTCTGCTCTTCCTTAGATAAGCTTTCTTGTTGACCGTTGATAATGAGCTGGGGTGGGGGGCATGAGCCAGGAGGACATAGTGCTGAGGCAAGAGGATTCCTGAAAACAAGGGCAACTGATCCCTCCTCACTCAGCCTCACACTCTTCATTCAGTACAGTTGTTATATATTAACCCTGCTGTTTTTGTCTTGCAACTTCTCCCCTTCAGCAGTGGCCCAAGTTCACAGACCATCTGCAGGACTGCCGCAAGGATAAGGGACGATGGCCAGAAACATCCCGGCTCATGCCCCCCTGCACCACACCATCAGGCATTAATTGATTCCACCCTCGGGTTCTATGTTGCTTGCTACACAGCCAGGTGGGCTTCTTCTTCCAAAGGTGAACTATCAAAATCAATTGAAAAACACGGCATTGTACAGGTAGATGACTAACTTATACCTCACACTTTCACGTGAATAAGCTTAAGGTAACTAACAATCATATAAAACCTTAATTTAGACTGCAATTATATGCCAATTTACCTGGCAGTACACCACATTGACTATTGTGGGATTGGGGGTGGGGAAGGTGGCCTTTCCAAAATGGTGAAGAAAATGTGTTGGAAATACGTACTGCAAAGTAGCTATTTGTTTCTAGAGGCCTAGGGAAAGGAAAAAAAAAACGTTTTTTTCTGGGTAAAATGTCTTCTAAACAATTTTGGCATAACTCTAATTCACATTCGTCAAGGTTCAGCACTTTCCTTAGGGTCTTCCTAACATCAAAAGCTTTTCAGCACAAAGCAATAAATCCTCTGTTGCAAAATTGAGGCATAAAGCATTAAACAGAACAAAATTCTCTCTTGCTTTTCTGATACATAACCTCTAGGTAGCAATTTAATTTTGTGGAATAGCACAAATACATACGTGAAAAAACAGTTCCTTTAGCTTTCATAATTCAATGCCACATTTTCTCTCCTCTAAAACAACTCCCTGAAAGTGCTTGCTAAACACAGAAGCAGAACTAGAAGGCCACAGCATCCTCTAAAGACCCATAAACAACTGTGAGTAGGGAATGATGAGTGCATGTTAACTACTTTGGGTAGAAAAGCCATATATTTCTATGGTATGACTGTTGATATCTCATAATATATCTAATATTGCTACTTCCCTAAGAACCTGTATGAAGTGTGAGCAGTACACTTACTCATCCAGCTTCAAGGAAATGTGAAGATAGTGCTGTGCCAACATTTCTTCTCCAGTTTCCTGGAACTATTCTTCCTCTTTTATTTTTTTTGTCTCATCTTCAGCATGGTTTATAATTGATTTTAAATTTATTTTGGTGGTAATTTTGAAAGTACTTTATGTGTTTCTCCTTTCTGCTACGCATGACTCCATTACTCTGCAACACCCCCCCCCCCCCACCAATCTGCTGGAACTTTCTGATCAGAAAATGCCCTGTGGAAGGAATGTCTTCCCCTAATCTTTAATTGAAATTCAGGAAATCAAGGAGGCCACAGGCTGCTGGAGAGACGATTGTTCTGTGCAAGACAGGACCCTTGTACACACGCCTTGCCCACTTCATCACCTGAAATTTTCTTCTCATTGCAATTTTGTTTCTAAAGCACTTTAAAATCTCAAATCAAATATAAATAGTCACAACTTGTGGAAGAATATTTCAGTACTGTGAGAGTTGCAGCATGTCCAATAGTAACTGAGATAATTCAGTGAGAACTCTTTAATAGCTAAATTGGGAATGGGGGGCAGATGAGTCATTGTGGACAGCTGCTGAGCTTTAGCATTAAAGTACAGATGTATTGCTTTATTAAGAATGACCACAAAACACATGACCTTTCACAAGTGATTGGTTGCTTTACAGTGATTTCTAGGGACTGTCTTGTTGTGGCCAAAAATTAAAATAAAATTCTGTCCTTACAAATGGCCATGGAAGTTTTCCTTTGCTTTAAGCTGATTATCTAATTAGACCTTAAAACAATCTTGTAGGTAGACCAGTATTACTTTCCCCATATAATATTCTACATGTAAACATGAGCAGATACAGCTACTATACAGCTAGTCACAGGCGTGCAAAAAAAATGTCTGCATACCCCCACCCCATACACAAAAGAGAACCGTTTTGGAACCCAATAACTCTTGGCCCTATGGATGTTTACAGTTAATCCTTACCCTCAGTCCATCTCCAATAACTATTTCATGATTTCTCAAAGATAATAGACAATGATTCTGAGAGTTTTTCCCACCAACTCCTTTATGACTCTAGGATGGAATTCATCTGGCCCTGCAGATTTGTATTCATTCAACCCAATTAGATGATTCTTGACATTTGCCTATGTGTTATATGCAGTTGCCAACCTGCTGCTTCAGCTTCCTCTTCAACAGGAAAGTCATAGATCTTCTTTTGGGAGAAGACTCAGGCAAAGAAGGAATCAATCACTTTGTCTTTTCTTTGCCATCTTTTATCATTTTGCCATTCACAGTGAATAGTGGGACCCCCCCCCCCATTTCTTTCTTCTTTTACTCTGGACATACCTGAAGAAGGCTTTTTTGTTGCTTTTAGCATCCCTGGAGGATTTTGGCAATGCTGTAGAAACAGCTTGGTTTCAGCAAAGCTTTCAACAAAGCGCCCCATGACATCCTGATTAGTAAACTAGCTAAAAGTGGGCTAGATCAAGCAACTATCATCACTTGTTTACATGCCCCTTTTTGTTTTCAGATCACCTGTAAGCTTTCTGTGAGGCCACGTTGGATTCTTCTGTTGTCTTCTACCTTTTTTCCTTGTTAGAATTGTTTGCAATTGTGCCTTTGGAATTTCCTTTTTTAAAAACTCCCACCCATCTTAGGCTCCTTTTCTCATTAGAGTCACTTAGAAACATAGAAACAGAGCGAGTCAGAAGGGGCCTCCTGAGCCATCTAGTCCGATTCCTGGCTCCACTCATGACATGGGACTTTACTTTTCATTGTTCTAAGTTTAGTAAAATCAGCTTTCTTAAAATCGAGGGCACATGCTTGGCTACATGTGGCTTTTGTTTCCTTTAGAATCAGGAATTCAAGTATGGCATGGTCAATTCCCTCAGAGTTCCCATAACTGCCACTTCATCCACTAGGTCTTCCCTGATGGTTAGCGTCAAGTTAAGAATAGCCATTCTTCATTGTAAGGTCTGAGGCAGGATCGGTAGGCAGCTAAGGCTGGAACACGGGGACCAGGGCACAGGTGCAAGATGGAGTCCTGCAGCAGATTCAGAGAGCCAGAAGCAAGAGCATGTTTGATTAACATTATAAGGTCAAAGCCAGGGAAACAATAGATCCAAGCAAACAGAGTCTAAGATATTACAATTGAAAGGCGCAGTTCAAGAGCACAGTCCAAAGGTCAAGTTCCAGAAAGACAGTCATATTCAAGATTAAGGTGAGGTCAGGGAGGATGGGTGCAGGTACGTGGGAATCAGGGTTAGACTGGAGCAGGAACAAGGCAGGATACAAGATGCAAGAAGATGGGTTGGCAGGCAGGAAATAGGATTCAGGTGAGGCAATGCAGGAATCAGGGCACCAGCGAGTCACCAGGACAGCTTGTGTCGCTGTGGCAAAGAGGAACAGTGCAGGAAGGTCTTTTATGCTGGCTTCCAGGGCCTCCAGCTGCACTGCATACTTGCTCCTCAACTGTTCCCTGAGAGTGCCTGCAAGGGTGTTTCTGGTTCTGCAAGCAGTTGAAGGGGCATCCAGGCCCTGATCCCGACACTCTCATTCCTTCCTCCACTTTCAGTTGGAAAAAGTTATCAGCAACACATATTAGGTATCTTTCGCAGGGGCCATGTTTGGCAGAATTTGTTTCCTAACAGATAATTCGGAAAATAAAAATGCTGTCGTGCCCCCTGAATCACTGACAATTTGCTCTTCAAAAGTCTCATCCTCATCTTCTCCTTGACTGGGTGGTTGGTAATAGACTCCAGCCACTGTTTTCCTTTTGTTCCTTGCTCCATTTGTATTAATCCAGATACTCTCAATGGGGCTTCTAAGCTCACCATCCTTTATTTCTGTGCAGAGATATGCATCTTTAACATATAGTGTGACTCTACCTCGCTTTCTGTTGCTTCTGTTCTTCTTGAACAGGTTATATCCTTCAGTTGTTGAATTCCAGTCGTGGGAGTCATCCTACCAAGTCAAGTCAAATGCACTCTCCTGTATCAAGTTCTCTTGTTCAAGTTCATGCTGTTTGTTTCCCATAATCTGGGCATTACTATAAATACATCAAGGACATGTGTTTTATACTCTAGCTTTTTTCCTACTTTATTGGGCACTATTAGAGCTCTTCTCTTTGTTGCAGTGCACAAGTCTTTGTCTGTTGTTATGCCAGGTGTATGTCTCCCTCCCCTGTAGGAATCAGTTTAAGGCTCTCCTGATAAACTTCGTCATGCTGTGGCCAACCACCTTCTTTCCAGTCCTTGTAAGGTGCAACCTATCCCTTGCCAGAAGTCCATCTTCCAGGAAGTGTAACCTGTGATCCCAGGATCCAAGTGTCTCACACTGGCACAAACTTTGTAGCCAGGCATTCACTTGGAGTATTTTTCTTTCCATGTCCATTCCTTCCAGTTCTTGGAAGAGAATTGGAAGAGAGAACTGTATGGGCTCCAAAGTTCTTGACTTTCCTCCCAAAAGCTTCAAAGTCTGAGTGATTACTTCAAAGTTCCACTTGGCAGTATCATTTGTTCCCACATGTATAAGAAGGAAGGGATCTGTGTCAATGGGCTGTACGAGCCTTCACAATCCTTCAGTTATATCACTAAACTGTCCTCCAGGGAGACAGCATACCTGATGAGTCCACAAGTCTTCCTGACGTACATGCATTTCCATCCCAGGCAAAGGGAGTCTCCCACAACTAACACTCTTCTTGTTCTTGCAAGCCTTGGTATCATTGCCACTGTTTGGCTGACCTTTAGCCTCTTGACAGTGTTGCAGCTGATGTATGACTTGTAGTTCTTCCACTGCAGGCTGCCTCCAGTCTCATCCTCAAGTAACTGAAAGCAGTTCCGTGGTTCCACTGTTTCCACTGATGCAGAATGTTTTCTAGTTTTCTGCACTTTTCAACCTTTTCCAGGGAGTTTCTTCCTCATTTTCCCTTCCCTCAGGATTTTCCTCTTCTAGCTCTAGCACTTTTCTGCCTATTAAACATTAAAATATTTGCACCTAGCACTTAAATGCCAGTGGACTGATAATACTACAAATACATATTTGAAAAACCCCAAACTTCTCTCTTACATAGTAGTGATGGCAGTGGTGGAACAGCTGAACTGTCAAAAAATGGCTGAGCAGGCTACAAGCTCTCCCAGCAAAGACCCCGTGTGTTTAGGGATCCTTGGCAGGGGTGGAACTTCGACTCCTCAGTGGCCATTTCCAGGTATGTGGCCTTACCCACCCACCCCTCAGACTGTGGAGGCAGTGATGACTCCATATCCACACAGGTGGGTGAGGGAAGAAAATCTGGATCTTTAGAAATTGATCTTGGGGCCCCAAGACCTACTATCCTGCATCAGGACAAAATGAGTGAAACTCTGCCATAATATGGCCAATAAAACCTGACACTAGGAACAGCTTTTGAGTTCAGATGGGATTCCTGATCTGATTGGGAATCGAAGTTGCAAGTCCTGCTCCACAAAGATACATTAGTGTTGTGAGCTAGAGTTCCTCCCTTCGCACATCAATAGCTACAAACCTTTCTTGCAAAACATTCTTATTGACCAAAGCATTTTCCAGAAACACAAATGCCCAGAATTGGTTTGTGGAATCCAATCTAGTATTTACTTCTAGGAACTCTCCTTATATGTTTGAGCCTCATCCTTTTGGGAGGGGCCTTTTGGAAACAAGCACACCTTCTCTGTGCACACCAATCCTCTATTTGGGCCATCTTCCTCTCCCAACATCACATAATGGGGTCAAGAGCCATATCCACCTCACCTGTCCCTGAGAAACTCCCCTGTTCCAAGGCTCCTCCCATTAACTGTACATCTTGGTTATTCCCAGAGGCTGCCTGCCCACCAGGGGAGTCTGGCCCTGAGCTAAGCATTTCCGCTTCTCTCATCTCAACATCTGGAATTAGCCCACTTTGCAAGGCCCCCTCCTTTTCCTCCTTCCAATAGGCAGGCCTTGAGAATGCCTGCCAAAAACAGCTGGCTTTCTCATTCCAAAAACTTAGATACGCTAATATGCCTGTCCTGAAAGATCTTCCTTTGGGGTCACACCTTAGATATGCTAATTGTTTGCCTGTCCTGAAGGTTCTTCTTGTATTGCATTGTCTTAATCAGTTCAATCCTCTTTTACCCTATTGTGTCTCTAGCAAACTTCCTGTCCTGCGACCCTCCTCCAAATTGTATCAATTGATAGTTTGTAAAGGCATTTTTGTATGTATTTCATCTTAGTAGTCCCTTTGGGGGCTACCTACATTATGCATGTAGTTCCTGTGTATTGGAATAAACTGTAAATAGTTTTGACTTAACTCTTCCTTATTTTTTTTCATCAATCAGAGTAATAGAATCTTTGCTAGCCTTTGCTCCCCAACAGCTATTTTTGAGAATGCAGCCTCCTTCCCACAACCTCTTGCCACATATACACAACATACGAGTAAATCAATAGAGATGTGTTAACATTTTTTCCTGAGGCATTTTGACTTAAATGAATGCATACTATAAAAAAGTGTGTATGTTTTAAAGGATCTCCTGCCATTTTTTAAAAAATAGCTATTCACATGAATTGGATCTTCTTCATTCAATGACGTCTCTTCCATTGTTACAGACAGAACAAAGGAAGGTGCACGCTCAGGAAAAGCTTGATACTCCTGAAAGGTAAGTCAGTTGCGATGCCACTCATAGTTACTGCTGAAGACCAATAACTGTCATGTGCATACGCTCGGACAAGATTCCTAGGCACATGAGAAATGGCCTGCTTTGTGGGACTGATAGCTCAGCCTCTGAGGATGATGTGGAGCTGGCTGAACCAGACGAGGCTCAGAGCTCACACTCTGATAATGGGATTGTTGCTGTAACAGACCGGCCTGCACCTGCAGACTCCCTCCCGCAGTACCACTCCGAGCCTGCTCTGGATGGAAGTAGCTCGAGGACACCCATGGGGCCCTGTCTCCCTCCCACCTGTGGGAATGAAGCAGACGAAGGACGGGAGGGAGATTTAGAAATGAACAGCCTCCCAGATGGAGACTGCCAGCCCCCTGAAGACGTGGACCCGAGGGCCCATCATCAAAGCCACAGGCTGGTCCAATTAGGGGCTCAGAGTGCAGAAACAAAGGCACACCTGGTTCCATAGCACCCCTCCTTCCAGAGACAGACCCTGAAGGGTTCATAAGCAAAGCTTTGGGTAAAGGGGGGCACAGAGGGGTCAACACATCTTGTGTATGCTCAGAGGCTTGCAAATGCTTAGAGTTTTCTGTGTAGAATAAAGAGGCTTACAAGAAGTGCTGGAGAAACTGTCTTGCATGGGAGGGAATGCCTAGCTCATGACAATGACTCACCACGTCAGGAGCTGTCAGCTGAAACTCTTGTCATGTTCTGCTCACCATCCCAAAAGAGCTGCCATGTCCATCTTGTGCTATTATGAAATTACACTGCAGCGGCCATTTGGAAGGACAATATGAAAGGTTGAAGACACCTCCTACAACCTGTATAATAACATTCAAACTGTATAAAAACATTCATTCTTTTACTCTCAATGTTTTCAGGGATGAGTATAGCTGGTATTTCCAAATAATGGTTCTTTTTAATGGGAATTCTCTGGGGCTTACAAATATCATAGGAAGCAGGCAGAATTTCCACAAGTTTTTTTTCCATTAAAAATTTGCTGCTGTTCCAGACATTGTAAAAACATCTCCTGCCTTCTATGGTAAAAGTAAGCCTCTCCTTTACTTTATAAAATTGAGGGGAGAGTTTGGCACAGCACTACTGAGTAATCAGCTTATAATTCACTCTAATATATTCCTGTTGGAGCCCCTCCCTGATATGCAACAAAATCATGCAACCTCTTGGTTCAACTGACATCCTTAACCATTTTCAAAGTGGTAGTAATCTCTGAATGCACTAAAGCATTTACAAGATCAGCCTACACCATCCTAATAGTGTCAAAATATTGTGACTTTTCCATATAACTGTTACATTTTTTAAAATGTGTGAGGCTATTTACTATAAGGCCAAAGCAGAAACTCTGCATCCAGTTCGCCTAAGAGGAAAAAACTCTGCAGCCCTAAACTGAGGGTGGAGGCAATGGGGGAAGGCTTTATCTGTTCTGATATGTAGATTTAGGGCTGTTCAGGTGAGGTATAATTTGGGCATAGCAACAATGTTGTTCAACTAAAACTGAGGCATGTTTTGGCAAGCCTGAAGGAACAAAATAGAGAAGCTTGTTAGGGACTTGTCAAGTTACTGAAGCCACTGTAAGTGAAAGGAGGTAGACTGGGGGAACACGAGGCTGTCTCTTGCAGGCAGGCAGCCTGGTTGATCTCACATTTGGCAGCATCTTGATCTGTTGTGAAGTAGACACTGTCAAGGGAGCTGATGGAGGGATCATAATCAAAGAAGTTGTAGGGCCGGAGTAAAAAGCCCACCTCGTTGCCAATCGTGACAGTGGTGGGGATGTCCTCAGCATGAGGCACATGCAGGAAGCCAACTGAGATCCAGGCTACAAGATCCTAAAAGAGAGGGACAGGGGAGCACAGTTTTGTTAGCCAGCAAGCGAAAGTGTATCAGTGATAATAAGGCATGGAAGATTGTGTCAACTCTTTTGCAGTTCACCATATGCTCGACTAGAATCACATCCACTTAGCTGGTAGGTTAGTTCAGAAGTGGCTGGGAATGTAGATGATGCTCAACCAGTCCAGATGATCTACAGTGACAAGGTGGGTCACCAGCGCAGCTGAGCTCAACTGCACCAGCAGCACAGTCAGTGGGGCAATGGGCACACTGGGCCATGTGCACTTTGGTGTCCTCATGGTAGACACTGAACTCAGAAACGGGCTGGATGGGCAGGCATAAACTGAAGCTGAATCCATTTAAGGCAGAGGCTCTGCAGAGAGGTGGTTCCCATGACCAGGAACCGGGCTGCAGTCTCATCTAGATGGGGCTACGCTCCCTCTGAAAGAAACAGTGCAATAACTCAGCTGTACACCTTGATCTGACTTTATTGCTTGAGGCCTAGGCGGTCTCCGTGACCAGGAATGCCTCTCACCAGCTTCAGCAGATTCACCAGCAACAACTGTTGCTGGATAAGAGTAGTCTGGCTGCAGTGGCCCATGCGCTGATAACCTCATGATTGCATTGATGTGGTGCTGGGGTACCCACAGTAGTCACCAAGATCATGCTCCGCCCTTGAATACCTCACTTCATGTTAACCAGACACCCTGCCCCTCCCGATTTTTAAAAAGCTGATGCATAGCAAGCATCTCACCAACCTCCAACCAACAAATCTATTTCTAAGCACTGCCTTTATTGTTTCCAAGTCCAATGTACATGCTGCCTGTTTTTCTGATGATTTTGTTTTTTGGCTGGCTGGCTGGCTTGTGTTTGTTTTGAGGAGGAATGATTTTGCCTGTGCTATGTGACTATGTTTTGTCTGTTTTGGTTGGGGGCATATGTGGAGTGAGTGCGTGTTTTACCTATGTGTATTTTGCTGGGGATTTTGTTGTGCTATGTGGTGGTAAGTCTGTGATTTGACATTTAATGCTCAATTCCTGCCTTTTGACATCTGCTCAGTTTCCTGGTCAAGTTCCTTGCCTCTGAGCACGATCGGTTTGCCTCCTATGAAATGGGTGCTGGGCCAGAGAACATGGGTTCAAAGGAGAGGCTTTGTGCTTGGATGATCCTAGTCCCCTCTGCCTTGCATGCACTTATTTTCTGTCAGCCTCACCAGTTCGCTTCTTCGGAAATGGGCACACTGACCCATATAAAGGAGCATTAATTTGGCTTCCTAAATTATTAGAGGCATCTATACCACTGCAGATCATCAGAAATGGATTTGTGCCAGCAAGTCATGCCCCTCGTATTTCTGTATTTCTAGAAATATAGAAATAGGAGATGGCATAGCTTGCAAAAGCCTTCTGCTCATCAGGCTTTCAGGGCAAATGACAGTAACAACAACAATCAGTTAAAATTTACATTAATCGGAGAATTAGGCCAATAACCACAGGAAAAAAAATGCTGATATAGCGTAACATCTCCTTGTGGCACCTAGTCTCAGAGCATTTAGGTAAACGACCCCTCCCCAAAGCCAGGGATATGAGACGCTGCACTTTTGGTGCCACATATTTGGTAGGCACCAGGTTGAACAGGGCTAGTTGAGGCTATTGTCCTCATTGGGTGGGTTCACAGGTCACAACAACCCACCCTAGCAATAAGCCATGGTGGGCTGCTTGTTTTGAAAACCACCCTTATGCTTAACAGATTGGAATACTTTGTTCACTTCCTCCTTCCTGCATGATCCTGCCGCTGTTGTCCAAGGGGACACCATGGCAGGACCAAGTCATCCCCACCATGATGAAGAGCCAGCTTTTGCTCTCCGCAGCTTTTTAGATTTAAACTTTTTTCCCCTTGAAGATCATTATCACCATTTTGACAGTGATAGCTTGTTCAAAGTGCCCAGGCTGCACTGTGGAGGAACTGTCCACGGTGCACATTATTTTTAACAAATCCTGGCCTTCTAATCTGCATGAATATTTGCATGCATTAGTTTTTTAAAAAATCAGACTTGCTCAAGTATGGAGCTGCACACCTACAAAGGCCCAACAACTGGCAGCCTCTGCTAGACAATGCCCAGAGAGGTACTTGCTGTCAAAGTGCAGCAGGTAGCAACTTTGGACATTGTCTGAGGAATTGGAGGAATTGAAATACGTTTTCCTCCTCTAGTTTGGTTGGCAGCTGTCAAAAGGCAAACTGTCAGGCCAAAGCAAACATACAAGTGATCTTTGCTCATAAAAAGAGAGTGCCAGGATTTACACTCCCTTCATGGCCAGACCCTCGTGAGTGTGTTTCTGTGCACTGTGTATTTCACGGTCTGAAGGATTACTTTCACTTGCTCAGTTCCCAAGAATCTAGGTGTCTGGGAGCAAGGAAAAGTGCAAGTCACTCCCCAAAGGAGAAGGATTTTTGACAACTGCCAATGCCCAGTTTCTTTTAAAGTGTGTGTGTGTGTGTGGGGGGTGTCTTTTGGGTAGGCAGGACAACCCAAGCTTTTTTGACAGGGACATATGTAGGCATATGGGTTAGTTGTCCAGGTTCACATGACAGAACAACCCATAGGTTCCCAGTGAGGTTCGTTTAAAAACAAAACAAGCCACCATGAGTAAATTGGGCTGGATTCTGATAATATAACAGCCCACCATGGTTTGCTACCTGTGGTGGGTTGTCTTGTTGTTTGAGCCATGTCATTCTCTTGCAAGCACCTCCCTTCTTCCTCTCAGGCTGTCTCTGGAGAAGGTACAGGACGTCCTTTGATTTCCACCTCTGGTGGCTGTCATCCACCACTGAAATGGGTTTGGGAGGTGTCTGACATCTGTGCCCTCCATCTGGCACTAGAACAGTCAGTCATTACAAGCTTTCCTTTCCCAGGCAGTCCTTCCTCAGTAGCTTCACCTGATCTATTGCCAATGCTGGGGCCATTATGCTGTCTTTCCTGTTCTCTCAGGCTCCTTTATTTAAACAAAGATGTGGCATAACTCAGCATGCACCTCATTAGAGATGGTCTCATTGTCTATGAAGTCAGTAAAGGCCACCAGTGGATCCCAAGGGTCATTCTGATTATAGATGCACGTGCTGCTCAGCTCCTCCTCTTTACGCTTGGTGACAGCCAGCTTATACCTGAAGAACACAGATTATGGGGGGAGACTAATGTCATCACACTTTTACACAATCAGCTCTGAAGCATAAACATGACATTTACATTAGGAAGAAGGAACTATGGCCATTAGACGTTTCCCAAGGCCCATGTGTGTTGATCCCTTATCCAAACATTGCACCACAATTGGAGCATCTTTGTTGTCTCAATGCAAGACAGAAGAATATTCCAACAGGAAAAGATATAATGGCACAAAGGACTCCGGGGCATGTGAAAGTACCTTCCAGTACACCAAATTTGCAGCCTGTGGGGCTGGGGGGGGGGGGGGGAGAGCTGTCATGTAGGAGGGGCTTGCAGTCCACAATCCTCAAGGGAGGGCAGGGGTGGTGCTGCTGCTCCTTCCTCCTGCTCCCAGGAGACCCACCAAGCAGATGGGAAAGGTTTGAGAAGAAGCAGGATGTTTACACTACACAGTCACCATACACCACATCTCCATTTCTCCAGGAGTCGTCCTTAAATCGGAAGTGAACAAGTTATTGCGCATGGGCCACAGGTAACTCCCACCAAAGCTCATCTGTTGCTGTACCACCAACATTTTGTAGCAGTTGCAACAACAGGAAAAAATCAGCAGTTGTTGCTACAAATGGCTAAAACAAACAATTGTAGCTTGAAAACAAGCTTAAAAATTCACATTGCCATAGTGGTTAACCACTGGCTTTTCTGCCCGCTCTTGATTTAATTTAAACAGGGAAGCATTAATCCAAGCATGAACACAGCGGATTGTACCTGCCCCAGCTGATAGACCGCTCCATGGTGCTTGACTGGGGCAAGTGGTCTCCTGCAAAGCTGACGATCTGGATGCGGTAGGCACGCGGGTGCTTCCACCGGTTCTGACGGCTGCTGGTAAAGTGCAGGTATCGAGGCATTTTGTTTTCTAGTGGGAAGGCAGCTTTTTCCTCCTTATCCAGGACTTGGCTTGTGAGTACTGGCCGCTGAATCTGGTGCTCTAGGCTCCATGGGGCCTGCAGAGACTCAAATGCCATATCAACAGCCACCAAGGAGTTTTTGGTTCCTAAGAAAAGCAAACACTCAGCGAAGTTAAATTTCCTGGCCTCCTGCCTCTCCTGGCTTCAGGAGACATATCCTTACCAAAGCAAGTAGATTTCTATATCCATTGGAATAAATACTAGAGCTAGTCTGGCCCTCACGACTGGGGGATATGTGGACATATATTGGCCTGGGACACCTCACTGTCTTTCAGCTTCAGTTTTCATCTGCTAGATGGGAATAATGGTGGCCTACTTATTACATTGCTATACTTGCTGTAGCTGCTGTTCTCTGCAACTTTAAAGGTAGTTGCAATATTTCACCCTATGATCACTTTTCATATATATCACGGCAATATTTAAAGATCAACTAAAAACACAACATTCTTAATACACACCAGGTTCTAAACTTTTGTTTGGCTGAACTTTGCTATTCAAGGTTGCTTGTTGCTATACTGGACCTCATTTGCTTATCACATGAAACAATCCATCATTTTTTATTTTTTATTTTGTTTCCTAAGAACCCAGTAGAGATTCTTAAAAAGATCCTGGACTGTGCAGAAATGGATAGATGGACTTTATCATTGAAGGAGAAGGAAGATACTGACTTCTATCAAACTTGGGACTTTTTATTATTGGCTGGAGAAACGGGACTTCGCATAGATTTAAATATGTTTTTCAGTTATCATAAATGGAAAAAGAAGGGTGTGGGGGCTGACCCAGCGGGCCCAATGTTTTTGAGGAAGGATGTTGTTTGTTGTTGTTTTGTTTTTTAGGATTATAATTTCAAATAAAACTTATTTAAAAAAGAGAAAGAGCCCAGTAGAGTAGATCAGGTGTTTGGTGCTCTCAGGCTTATGGAGTCTCTCTACCTGGTGTTTTTACTAGAAGCCCAAGGTCCACCAATAGGAGCAAGGAACAATGCTGGTTCAGGGGCCAATCAGCTCTTACTGCCCATGAACTATGCACTGAGATGACCCACACCTGAGCTACTATAAAACAGGGATTCATATAACAACCTGAATTAGAAGGTGCAGGAAGCACCTGGACATCGTTGTCCAGAAATTCTAGTCCACCTACGCTGACTGCGTCCGCCTACCCCTCACTGCTCTTCCCTGTTCACAGATGGGGTGTGGGGGGCGGGAGAGATGTGGAGAGAGCAGCTTCCCCGAGACTAGAATAAGTCAAAGGCAGTGATGGAAAGTGAGTCCAGATTTCCCAGACCGGGAGATTATTCAGTGAGTACTCACAAGGCAGAAGCCACAAGGGAATGCAACACCTGACCTCAGAAGGGTTCTCCTCACCTGCGATGAAGTGAGTGCAGTACAGCCATACGCTTTGTACGGGGAAACACAAGATAGCGACTGTATTGCAATAACTTCACTACCTTCTCTTTTCTGCATGGCACCTCAGCTGTCAGGACAGGCTCCCTGCTATTTATCTAGGGGCATCTAGAGCAGCTCACCAGCACTTGAACAAAAGTCAGAATCTCCTCATTTTCACGCACAAGGGGGGCAATGAGAGAGTTTCCCCTTGTTGTGGAAGCTAATCCAGAACATATAACCACTTAAGGAAATGCATCATTGCCTGCTCTCATGACAAGGGAGCCCTTCCCGCTTCCAGACTCACAGAACATGTTGTCTTCTTGCTGCATTTCTTTACTAGTAATACCAAATGTTCTTTCTTACTATAAAAAGCCATCTCCTCTTATTATTTCAGTTCTCAAAGCCCTATGTTTTTATTTAAATAAAAAATTTCAACCTAAAAAAAAAATTTCAACCTATGACTTCCACAGCAACATGTAACTTGGCTCATTTGCTTGAGTTTTCTAGGATTTATGTTCTGTAGGTCCCACCCTGCAATGCACATTAGTGGCTCCTGGTCTCTGCTTAAGGCAATCTAGGGCAATCTGTGGGAACAGGGATAAAAGAGGACAGAGTATCAGCAAAAAACCAGTTGTGGAAACCCCTGTAGCCTTTTCTTATGGATATGGTTTGAGAGACTTTCACTTCTTCAGACCACTCAGTTCTGTTAATGCAATGGATTCCCTTTTTTGTTTCAAATGGAGGAGCTCAAAATTATCTCCCATGTGGAGCTTAAACAGTGCACTGGAGGTGCAGGTTTGGGAGGAAGGTTGGGCAGGCAGGCATGCTCTCTACAGTGCTCTCTACAGTCTCCGTTATCCCTGCCTCACCCAGTGATGTTGCCGTGTTTTGCAGTTCTTGATCTGGAAATGTAACATAGTGAATTGCATTGCTCTGCAAATGAAGCAAACATTATAGCATCTACAGTTCTTTTCTAGCTTAGCTGTTAATCCAAGACAAGCATTTTCTCCCCCACACCCTTCTTCTTCTAAATCACGCTTGGTTTGACCCCATTGTGCTCCTAACGACATTATTCAGGGTGCTATGAACACAGTTATGTGTCTCAGAATTGGATTAAGAATGAACCAAGTTATTTTCTAAATTTGATGAAAGTAGCTAAGCAGGATATATCAAACCCTACAGACGTCTGAGTAGTGAAGCAAATTTATGAAGTATCACATAAATCTGAACAGTTATTTGAAATGTAGAATATGAATTCCTTGGGTGACATGGGTGTGAATCTAGATTGATTAGGAAGCAGGACATGACAACTCCACGAATCATTCCTGTCAGCATATGGCTAAAGTTTCCATAATCAGGGTAGCAGATTGTAGCATTTGAGGCAATATGGGGACCTACCTCCAATGTCCAAGTCGACTTTATAGTTTATTAGATGGTTATGCATGGTTCCAAGCGTGTGCTCCCCTACCCTGTTTCCATATGCAGTTCCCCCGCCCGTGAAGAAGGACGAGCTGATGTATCCTGTGGCGTGGACCTTGACTTCTATTGCACCATTTTGGTAGAACACAAAATCCCAGACATAATCATAGTTAATAATGGTGGAAATGGCTCTTAAGACCAGGGCATATTTGGCTAGCCCCTCATAATAAAAGGAACCTAAGTTGGAAAAATGGCGACGCAGGGGCAATCCCATGTCATGCTCAAAGATGCAGAAAGCATTCTTGTTCAGCTTTGGGGTGTCAGAGTCTATCAAGGAGTATTGATCCACATAGGTAGCCATGTAGGGGCAATCAATGCCCCGAACCAGTTCATATGAAAACCTCCCAATGCCAAAGCTGCCATCCATGTACCTGGTCACCATCCCTCCAGGACAATTTGAGCCATAAGTGGCAAGGGCTTCCTGCAGACTCAACTCATAGATAATCCTTTCCTTGCCATATTTGATGTTGAAGAGACGTGGCCCTGTATACACGTTCATTCCAAAGGCAAATGTCCAGGACTGATAGGCAACATGATTGCCTGCCACATGGTAGCGGACCCCATGAGGCTCAGACTGGAAGGGGCCAGGATGAGGACGAGGGCTGGAGTGCTTCCTGGGAGCAAAATTATGTACCTGGGTTATCTTCACTCTCTCCTCCTTTACACGACCATCTTTGAACTCCCTTTCCAGCTGTGCCAGCTCCTGAAAATAGTGACCATTGTAGAACACTTTCGTAATCTTCCACTCAGAGAGGTTCAGGCTGCTGTGATCCACCAGCACCTCCAAGCCAATAGGGTGGAGGTAGTATCCACTGCCCACCACATTCTGGAACAGGACAAACCAAGTGGCTCTGTCACCAGACGCAAACCCTCGCGGGGCTGTGGTCAGGGAAGCCAAGTTAGTGCCATTATACTCACAGCATGCTTTAAGGAGGCTGGATGCACTGACGAGCTCACGGAAAACAAATTCATCAATATCTCTGTACTCTCTCTCAGTCACTGGTCTGCTGTGATACGGCACCCTCCTGCCAAATTTCTTTATTGTGATGTCTTCATAGTATTTTGGATTTGGAAGAGGACTTACTACGAATTCTGTGACATTTGGGTCTAGTTGGCCCCCAAAGTACACCACAGCCAGTGCCTGCCGATGGGGCTGTTTTTTTCCATCATCAAGGAAGTCCAGTACTTCTGCTTTGGCGGGGAGGTGTATATCCAGAGAGTAAATGCAGTTGTCCGATGGCTTTGCATGAAATGCATCTTTCAGGGGTACACCAAGATTGTCCTTGAGAAATTTCACCACTTGTGTCATCTCATCTGCTGTCAGGTCAGCAAAGATTTTGCTCTGATCACTGATCCCACCCTCAGTGAAATTCTGTGGTTCTGAGGGGACACACCTGGTACTTTTTTCCCTTTTAGTCAGCAAGACGCAAACTAAAGCAAAAATCGTAGCCAGAGCCAGCACTAGGAGAATAACAACCGTTTTCATGTTTCATGTCAATGTTAGCGAAGGCAGCAATTGCAGCAGCACACCCTACAAAATCTGGTTACTGCTTGAGTGGGAGCAAGAAAAGCTGTTGCTCTGTTCAGAGCTAGAGGAGGGAACTGAGCTAGGAATGCTTGGGGGTTTACAAGGAACCATAAAAAGGCATTTTTTTTCTCTTGGCTCCTCTCTCCTCCCCCCACTACCCGCCCTGTTCCCATCCTGTTATATTTCTGCTCCATTGTTAGGCCTCTGCAAGCCGCTCTTGGCCCAGGATGAGGAAGAGGGATTCCTTAGGGGAAATGAGAGGGCTAAATGTAATCTCAGACTGAGAAGGGTATTGGACGGGGATTCTGGCCGGATGACACAACTTTATCACTGACTAGCTGGGAAAGTATAGGGGCTTGCCAACTAGCAGCATCTTATCTAGGCATTTCAAAGCTTATTTTGGTAACCCTCCTCCCTTTCAGAAATACAGGTTTAGCTTTGCTCACACGGATTAAGAAACTGTGTTTGATTCACTTCTGAGCTTGCACCGCCACGGTAATTCAGTCTCTGACCTGAAAATTTTGAAGAAAGGTAGACTGAAGAATCCTCAATTTTCTATAAAATATCCCATTAAGATGGTGGGATGCCAAGCCACTGGATGAAGAATGCTTTGAAATGAGGTCCACTTCCTAACAGTGTGTGCTATTTGCCAGAAGAGAGCGAGTGAGCAGCATTAAGTACTTGAAAATACTGTAAAAGAAGTGCAGTGTAAATAACTATTCCAGATGGCTACAAACTATGTTGGAAGAACAAAAAATACAAGCTGAAGATCACGGATTGCAACAGAAACATAGAAAAAAGCAAGTCAGAAGGGGTCTCCTAAGCCATCTAGCCTGACCCCCAACTCCAACAGCTCCGCTCATGTAATCCCCAACATGTGGTTGTCCAATCTTTCCTTGAACACCTTTACTGAGGGGGTCTCCACCACCTTCCTTGGTAGCCCATTCCATATCCTAGGGATCTTACTTCCTGACATCCAACCTGAAGCCTAGTTCCTTGAGCTTTGCCCCATTGCAATGCATCCTGCCCTCCACTGCAGGGTGGAACAGATCATGGCCCTCCTTCACATGATATCCCCTTACATATCTATAAGTTGCTAAAAGATCCCCTTGGAGTCTCCTCTTCTCCAGGCTGAAAAGACCCAGTTCCCTCAATCTCTCCTCAAATGTCATCCCTCTCAACCCGGCGACCATTCTTGCGACCCTGCGCTGAACCGATTCTAACCTAGCTATGTCTCTCCTATAATGTGGAACCCAGAACTGGTGCATCAGAGTTGTGTACAGCGGTACCAACACCTGCCTAATTCTGGAAGCCTCACTTCTGGTCATACATCCAAGGGAAGCATTTGCCTTCTAAACTGTTGCATCGCACTGCTGGCTCACGTTCAGCCTGCTGTCAACAAGTACCCTGAGATCCCTTTCACAAGTGCTGCTCTCTAGCCACTTGTCTCCCATCCTGTACCTGTGACACCAATTCCTGTGTCCCAAGTGCAAGACCTTGCACTTACGCACACTGAATGCCATTCTGTTGCCCTCCAGCAACTTCCACAGCCTGTCCAAGTGAGCAGGCCCTTCAGCCTGACGCAGCAGCATATTGGAGAGGTTGCCTGTGTGCAAATAAATTCATACATTTATTTTACCCGTACTTACTCTCTGCAAATGTACATGCTTGCAGTTGTAAAAGGTTTGAGGATGGAGAACTTTGGGTGTGCAAGGTGCAGGGGGTGCACCCTGAACATTTGCAACTATGAATGTTTCCAGTTGCTCAAGTACAGCAATTTGTGTGCTTCCCTCCCAAAAAAATGAAGAAAAAAAACCCCAGCGGGAAGCCCCTCTAATGTGATCTTGGGCCACTTTGAAAGGACTGCTCATAGTTGTCAAAATGGGGATTTTAATCTCTAAGGAGAAAAAGGGAAACAATCCATGACAAGCCCAAAATGGTGGTGGGGAGTATGGGAAGTCAGTGCCAGCTGCAACCACTTCCCACTTAGACCCCAGAAGTCCTATGGTGAGAGCAGTGAGGGGTGTTTTTGTTGCTTTTTTCATGAGACCCTGTAGTCAGTTCCACATATCCATAACAGGGTTGGTTGTCCTGGTTTGGATGATATAACAACCAACAACAACCGATAGAACATGGCCCCACAAACAAACCATCCTGGGGAAACCAGGCTGGGTTAGGGTTAGGGTTTCCCTTTCACAAGTGCTGCTCTCCACTTGTCCCCCATCCTGTACCCTTTTATGTAAAATTTCCAATCCTGCCTTTCATCCCCCCGTGTTTCCTTAATCTCTACCAGGTTGTACCCAGCTACTTCCAGGAGAGCCTCCAGCTCTTCGTGCTCGTTTCCCATGCTCCCAGAATTGGTGTACATACATCGCAGCTCTTTTCTACAAACCTCATTTCCTGACTCCCCTGACCTCCTTCTTCCTCCCAGCCTCCCTGCACAGGAGGAACCATCTGTGCAGTAGTCATGCCAGCCCCTGCAGTCCCTACAGCACCCTGCCCCTGGGACCCTGATCCTGTTCCATCACCTTGGTTTCATGATTGATTTTTGAGGGCCCTGATCCCACCCCTGCAGATTAGTTTAAAGCCCTCCAGACGAAGCTGCCAAGAAACAACTCTCAAAAGTTGTTTTCCCCCTCCTGGTAAGGTGCAATCCATCCCTTGCCAGAAGTCCATTGGTGAGGAATTGGTTGCCATGGCCAAGGAACCCAAAGCATGCCCTTCAACAGCAGGCCCTCAGTCAGTCATTCATCTCCACAACCCTCCTCTCCCTGGTCAGCCCATGTCCACGAACAGGCAAGAGCAAGGAAAAGGCCACCTGAACCTTCAGGTCCTTGAGTCTTTTGCCCAAAGCCTTGAAGTCCTGAGCGATCCCACCCATCCCCTGTCTGGCTGTGTTGTTTGTCCTCACGTGGATCACCAGAAGTGACTGATGACCCCACCAGCCCCACCCCCGGAAAGAAGTTGCTCCAGTCTGGTTGTCACACACTGGATGCGTGTGCCTGGCAGTCAGCAGACCTCCCTTGCCGAGATCCGGACGGCACACTGCTGCCTCGGTACCTCTTAGTAAGGGGTCCCTGAAGACAATGACTGCCTTCCTCTTGCCCAGCCGGTGGAGATCAGGGGGCACACCTCAGCCCCTGCATCTCTGACAGTGGCCCCCTGCCTGCGTCTGACCTCAGGCCAGACTTTCTGAGCAGGCTGATCTCTTGGGGGACCCATGGCCCCAGTCTGCTCAAGCAAAGAAAACCTATTTCTCACCTGGAGATGGAGAGCGTGGTGCCCACCTCTGCCTCCTGTGCATGACATGCCTTCACATCTCACCAGCTGATTCCCTGGTGGCCCCTTCCTCATTGGCCTGTCCGGAAGGGGGCTGCCGCTAGTTGGCCTGGAGGACCTCCTGGGCAACGTCCAGGAACTGTTCCCCCTCTCTTTTTCCCCAGAGGGTAGTGATGGCATCCTCCAGACCCTTCCCCTTTTCCTCAAGGAGATCTGGGACCTAATCCTGCTTGGACACCAGCTCGCACTCAGCACAAGTGTATCCTGGCTCCTCCTCAGGGAGGAAGACAAACATTCCACAGGAGCTGCAGGCAACCATCACACTTGCCACTCCTGCCACGGCCCCCTCCTGGCCTGGCATAGACTGCCCGCTGCTTGCCCTCTGCACCCTTGTCTTGCCTGCACTAAGCCACCCTCACTTGAGGCTGAGAACCACACTCCCTTGGCAAACCCAAAGTGCATTGGAAGGAGAGTCCCCAGGCAACCTGGGCCACAACCGAGGGACAGTGCCCTTGTCACATCGCCCGTTGGTGCCACCAACAACCGAGTGCGGCTTTATAAGCCTCAGAGGCCACTGGCCCTGCCCCCTCTGCCTCTCCCTGGGCCTCTCTGGCCCCTCTAGCCCCCCTCTTTTCCTCTCCACTCCTCCTGCCCCCCACCCCCAATCCTCTGCCTGTGCAAGTTCCCTGACCACTCTCTCTGCCCTCCCCGGCCTGTGCTGCTTTGCTGCCACCGCCGAAATAACAAGCAACTGCTTTATGATGTTATTATGCATTACTTTGTTATTGTTTTACCATAAACTTCTTGAATTTTATTGTTATGTGCTTGTTTTATGACAGGTGAATTTGTTTTAAGTGTGTTTTTAAATTGATTGTTGTTTGATATTTTTAGGTATATTCTGTACACCACTCTGAGAGCCCATCTAATTGAATGGTATAGAAATACCATAAATACATACATACATACATACATACATACATACATACATACATACTTCTTAGGTTGAGAATAGATGTGCCCATCATATTTGAAAGGTGATGTGTCCTATAGCTACGTATCTTGCCCCAAATCATCATTGACCAGTCACCTTGCACAAGGAGCCGCCGCTGCCACTGCCACAAGAATGCTACTTGCCAAAACTTTGCATCCCTTTTTTAGGCTTTCTGTTCCTGGGCTACTCAGAGCTAATGGCAGCTGCATCCATCTCCATACCCAATAAGCATGCACTAAACGTCAGCACTTGGGGATAATTAAACTGGAAGCGCTAGAGTCTGGACATGGCACCACTGGCTTTGCAAACAGCAAAAGGCCTAGCCTAGGTGTAGGCAATATTTTGGGGGCCTATGGTACATTCAATTTGCAGAACTGTTCCGGCACAAAAGGCCAACCTGCAGATGAAAGCATCGACTTGCAGCCACAGCTGTCTTCATTTTCTAAGAGTGTATCTTAGCCCTGTAGTTGGTCCAGAGATATTACTAGAGAAAGAAGACGGGAACACTTCATCTTGATGCAGTCCCAACTGCCAGTGAGAAAGCTTTTTTTAAAATAACAAACAGGAAGACTAGGCACCTTAGTGGACTCAAAAAAAAAAGTTTGAGGGTGCAATGGAGCTCACAAACACCATGTTGCCTGTCCTGGCCTAGTCCCTAGTATTTATACCACTCCTCACTAAAGTGAAGTTTCTGAGCTTCCTATAAATTACAGGCATGGATGTTACACACTTCTATTTCCTTCTATGTCTGAATTTAGGGTCTGAGCACACACAAAGGTGGCTTATCAGCTAGTTTTGACCTTGTTTCTTTTTTAAGCCTTACAGTCCCTAACACAATCAAATGTACATATTCACTGCACCCTACTCTGTTTGGGTCCAATTTACACACCCTTGGATTTTAAAGCACGTGTTAAAAGCTCACGCAAAACACACACAGCGGAGAAAGCAAAGTATGTAGATATATCCCAGGCAGACACACAGTTCTAAGCTTGGGAAGAACTATCTTGCAGGTCTAGGATGGTCTGGAATCCCTCCAACTGCACTCCCCCCCCCCCCCCCCGCTGTAGGGTCAAACAAAAGCTTTTGAGCTTTTCCACACAATACTCTGAACACAGTAGATTCAAAGTGTGACTTTCTGCTTGTTTATTTGCACATCTCCTTAAGAAAAAGAAGAGTGAAAGGTGGAGCTTAAGAGAAGTAGAAATTTCCATTTTAGTTTTCTTTGTTCATAGCATCTCTCAGGAGTAAAACCTTCACCCTGACCTCTTTCATCACATCCTGTTATGGTATAAAAATGTCAGAGGTTCAGCTTCATCAGACAAAGCAATAACAAACATTCTTCACCCAAAGTTGGTGATTTTACATGCCATACATGACTTTGGTACCAACATTGTTCTTAATCCATGAATAAAATGGAGGTGAAGCATCAACATGGTGCTGCAGAGGAAGCTTTAATGTAAGGCATAAGACATTCAATGTATTCCAGTTTACACCTTCTCTGAGGCAAACCATATCAGATGATACCCTATTGGAAGGACTGCAACAAGTTATTTTCTTCCTGAAGATGTAGACCACTACAGATTTCACATTCTATATCCTGCATTACAAATCTCTGACATGCTTCAGCAGTACCAGCTCTGTTGTCATCCTTGACTCAAGAGCATAGCCAGGCTGTTAGCAGGAAGCCAAAGAAGCCAAACATATACCAGGTTTATACCAGTTTAACTTTCATGACTTCTCCCAAAGAATTTCAGGAACTGTAGTTTGTGAGACTGGGGATTCTTTGCCAGAAATGGTTAATCCACCCTACAAACTTACAGCTTGCAGAGTTTGTCTGAAGGAGAATGGCTGTTAACTCAGCCAATCCATAGTATAGACATGCCCTAGTGGGGAAGCGAAACATGCACATTTAAGAAAAGGAGATTGGTATAGAAGGTAATATTCAGTTGAGCAATCTGTGTGGATCAGAGAAAAAATATATTGCAAATATAATTTCCAAATCATATACAATGCAAGCAAGTAAGGCTTAAGATTTGGTTTGAAGATACTGAACAGAAAAAAGCTCAGGACTATCTGCCCTTGTTACACACAGATTTCATACAAAACTGTCCCCATTATTTCCCCACCTCCAATGTCCAGCATGTATTAGAGCCTTGTCAGATTTTGGAAGCCATCATAAGTGAAAGGTGGAAGGTTGGGTAAGCACGCTGCTGTTTTGGGCAGGCATGCAATGTGGTTAACATCGCAGGAAGTGGGGTCCTGCTCACTGGTGAAGAAAACACTGTCAGGAGAATTGATGGAAGGATCTTCATCAAAATAGTTGTAGGGTCTCAAAAGGAAGCCAACAGCATTCCCAAGCGTGACAGTGTTGGGGATGTCTTCTGCATGTGGAATATGAAGGAAGCCAGTGGTGATCCAAGCTACCAGGTCCTAGTGAGGGGAAAGTACAGGATCATGTCACTTGGTAAAAGAAGAAAGGATGCAACAATGATTCAGAGACAGATGCAATTGATACCAAAGCTTGGGAAACCCATCTTTCATTATACTAGCTCAAAGACAACCTTCTGAGGTTTATAAGGTTGAGGAAAGAGAACTCACATGGATGGATAGGTAATTGACCATGGTAGGAAAATTTTTGTTTTATTCTGAACCATTTGGCAGTCACCTGAACTTGAAATAAGTTTTCCTGGACTGACATACATTGCCAAGCTAGTTTTTGAGAAATGGTTTAGATTTGAGGATGGCTAAAGGAAGATTTCTCAGTAGTTCTATAATATTCACAAAACCCATACAATTGTAAATTAATACAAAACCTCAGAACTACCCGAATGGCCAAAAGAAGTTGGAAGAATTTGATACTACCACCAAGGAGGCCAGAGATGGGATAGAAGTGGTGGAGTAAATAAGGCATGGGAAACAATTACAGAAGATGCACAGGAAAATTCCTAAATATAGAAACTCCCAAGGGAAAGAAGAAACTGCAGTAAAAGAATATGCCATGCTAATATGCACACATTTAGAAGTGGAAAAACCATGCATTTATAGTGTTAGAAGGGAAGCAAGAGCTAGCTCTCTGCCTATAGCTGGTTTTTCTACCATCAGGGCAGCTCTGAAAATGCAAACATAACTGAAGGAGGGTAACTGGCTTAGAATCCACACCCACTTCCTTACCCTAGACTGAGGTGACATCCCAAACTGCACCGAGAAAGCAGTGGGAAGGGAAAAGCTGCCTGTCCTTCCATTCATCAATAGAGGTAACAATAAACATTAAGATCAAGAATTGAGCTTTCTTGCCTCTCCCACCCAATACAAACTTTTGCTCGGGAAACAGGACTGCACTACTTCAGTGGAACTTCTTAGCTGCTCCAATATTCTGATTCTCTGAGGAGCCAAAATTTCCATTGATGTAGTACTACTTACCTAGGGGTTGGTTATGTTTGGAATGGCCGCTGGAGGTTAAAGGTGCTTTTAGATGAGGATTTAGTGATGTCATCACCCTATTTCGTTCACAGAATTTTATAGAGGTCTTCCATTCTACAAACTCTGAGGTTGAACTCTGTTTCAACACCACTTCCTCTATCTTTTTTCCTTATCACTGAAAATCCATTAAGGACAAAAAAGACGAAGTTGCTGCACAAAGCCTTCTGATTGGTAGCATTAAGCACCCTTCATCTAGAAATGCCCTTATTGGCATTTTGTAATATTTGCATTGTGTATGTACACTGATTAAGCATAGGCAGCAGCACAGAGCTGAACTCACTAAAACCAATATAGCCATGTCAGATCTTCTTGGGGGCCTGGATGCTCTCAGATGCTCCAGTTCTGCTCATGCTTAGTCTCATTCTGAAAATGCAAACTTGTTTTCTTCACAGGCACATGGATTGCAACATTCCTTGAGGGGGAGGGGGAGAGTCATCCTATTCTGACACACTAGCCATTAAGAGCCTCCAAATACGTACTGTTGCATTCCCACAAAATGCCCTGTTGATCTTTAACACTTGCGGTCGTGCTAGGTCCATTAACCTTTCCCAGTACAACCTCGTATCTCCGAATCATAAAAAACTGATGTTGGTATATCATCAGGTCCAGCCCTCACTCCTATAACAATATAATTAACATCTGAAATGTATGTGCCGGATAGAATTTATCTTGATGAAAGCAAACAAAATATCCAACAAGTTAAGCCTGTCTCATATTCTAGGCCTGAGCCCTTACCTCTCAAATCTGTTTAAAATGTCGATCTGTGCCATGGATCTGTGCAATATTGAATATTTAATATTGAGCTTATTTGACTTTTCTGTTCTGAAATTACTTCAAACTGGTAACAGTGAAGAAGTGTCAACTCACACGGGTGCATTTCAAACTAGACTGTGTTAAATAAGGGGAAGTTGCTCTATTGCAAATTACTGTAACACAAACATGGACACTGATGGAAATCACAGTTGTTATACATGGACCAAGATAGCATCACCAATGTGTGCCAGTGATCATGCCAGATACTGTCCCAGGGCCAGCCCCAAACATTTTACTTCTCTGAGATGGAGCAGCAAATCTATTCACATCCTCTCACAGTCAAGGTATAGAGTAGCCAAGATAGTCCAGGTGTGTTTTGGTATCACCACAAATACATGAAACCTCTTGAAAGAAATATTGTGAGCTAAAACTGCCTATACAAGGCAAGAAAAATGAACTATTTTGTGAATACAAAATAACTACCATGTACCTACTTTTAAACAAATACACAGTTCTGATTGTGAACTATGTTAATGGGTGAGTTTTCACAAAATGACAAGCCACGCTGTGAATACTGGGAGTAGCTCTTCCACATCTTCTACCCTCTGATCCTCCTGCTCGTATCCCAAAGTCCCAAATGACAGAACCTGTCTTGTTTTCTCCTCCATGTTCTGATCACGACCCCTTTTTGATGGTGTTTTTCTTTCATCTGGAGCCCTATGTTCTTTTTAGTGACACTGCTCTCCTGATGCCCAAGTGGCACTTCGGCATGACCATCACTGACTTGTTATTCTTCTGTGTTTTCACTAGCACAAAAGCGTGTGAGTTCATGTGTAATTTTTTTCTAATTTGTTTCAGTCATTTGCAGATATGCTGGTACATACCTACTAAGAAGTAAACCATGGAGCCTTGTCTAGCCAATGTGCTAGCAAGTGTCTGCTGTCAAAGTGCCATAGGTGGTATCCATGCATGTTGACCAAGCAAGGCTGCATGTTTTGCATATGCTTGACAGCTGGCAGTTGGTGAGCTGCCAACAGAAAAGCAAGGAGGTGAATAGGTCTTGTTTTGCTCAGTCGGTATTTTTGAAATCTGCATATGCAGCCGTCTCAAAAAATGCTGAAAATTTCTGACAGAAAAGATCTGCTGAAGATAGATTTGTCAAAAGAAAGTGCTCATGGAAAGGGGCAGGATGCAGATCCCCCTTTTCAAAGTGCCTAGAGGTAGTGAAGTGGGAGAGAGAAGAGAAGTGTGAGAAAGCTGGAAGAGGCAGTCAGGGCAATCAGAAAAACCTTGGGGACCAGGCCCAAAGGCGGGCAATGTAGCCACCACCCCCTTTCAGGGAAAAGATTCTGTTCACCTCTTTGTTTTTCAGCTGACAGTTGTCAAGGGCATGTAAAGTGACCTACATGCAGACTTGCTTGAGTCACAGATGTTGCCTACTGTGCTTTGACAACAGGTACTTTCTGAACAAAGTTGTGCACATGTAAGCTGTTCCCTGCTGGGAAAAAAAGACTGAAAGCCAGTAATGGCCACTTCAAAGTGCTGCCTGGGCACTGAGGAGGTGGCTGTCACTGAAGGTGGCATGCGTGAGGTCTACAGGAACAGGATGGGGATTTCTGCTATTCTAGCTAAGCGAGTCACTTGCCACTTTCCAAGCCCCACAATGGAATCACTCTCCTAGGTTTGGGTGACATTGTGTATTCAACAACCCCTAAAATTAGCCATGCATTATCAACATGGCTGGTTGCCCCCAGATAGGAAGCAGTATTGATTCAGATGACAAGACAACCTACTGTGACTAGCTACCCAAGATAGGCTGCCACATCGTGTGAATCTAGTTAATATGTTGTATTAATTAAAATTAAATTGTAAACAGTTATTTTGGTAATTGAGGCAGAAATAGCAACAAGCACTTTTCACCCAGTAGAAAAATGCAATAGGAAATTACAATTATCCTTCCATGAAACCCAGAATGAGCTGACTAAGGTGACTATTTCATTCTGCTTAATGGTATTATCCCCCATGTTGAAGATCTATAGATCTATTCAACCTGGAGGAAACAAGAATCCAATTTCTGCATGCAAGAGTATAATCCAAACCAGGTGCGGGGATTTGAACAGGAGCATCAGCATGCCCTTCTAGCAGTCAGGCATAAGTCTATTCTTGGAGGGTGGGGGTGGGAACAGATTAAAGTGGCCTAGGGTACCTTTGCAGGAGAAAGCTGGCAGCAGAGAAGTTTAAAGTACTTCCTTTCCCCGATTCTTCCCTGAAAATCCCTCCCCTTCATTCCTCCACTCCTGTTAACCAGCAAAAGCATATTTGGAAGCCTCTGGGTTTGCTTCATAACGTTTTTTCCTATTCTTAAAATGTACAGACTGCACCATGATTCTCTTTCCTGATTATATCCTATATGCCAACCCAACACCATTCACAAGGAGAAGAACAGATGTGGCTAGCATCTAATTCCAGCTTGAAGTCCATACTCTGTCCAGTCCTTGTTCGAGTTTTAGGCAGTGGTTCACCAGCACCTGAAAGAATTTATTGCTCACCTCACCAACAATGGTCTCATTGTCTATGAAGTCAGCAAAGGCAACTGAAGGCGTCCATGGATCATTCTGATTATAGATACTGGTGCTAAAAGGTTCTTCTTCTTTTCGCTTGGTAACAGCCAGCTTGTATCTGAAAAGCAACAAGCAACCAAAACAAAGCGTTGTGGAGACTGAATGATATCCCACTAGGCATAAGGCCTGGTAGATTTGACTCAGAAATGATGGCTCAGAATTAAGGAGGAGAGAGCCTTCGGGCTATTGGGAGGTATGAAAATGTAAGAAATAAACAACCGAACACTGAAATAAAAATGCATTACTAGCTAACAAGACCAAACTGACCTCCATTCCACAAAGCCAACATTAGGTTCTCCCTAATTATCTTACACATATCAGTTAAAACCCTTTTAATCATCTGTCATAACTACAGGCAAAGTGAGAACCTCAATGGAAGTATAAAAAAGACCATTACATTTGGTAATAAGACCCTTATTTCTCCCTCTCACCCCAACGATTAGCTTACACATAGAAAGGAAGGCAGGGTAGAACATGGACCTGTCTCTCACTCAGTATAGATGGATTCACCTGACTCTGAGGAAGTGGTGGAAGAACAAGCGGGAGAACAGGAATTCTCTGATTCAGGATTGCCCAGTGAAGTTTCTCAGACAGAGCATGAGAACCTGCCTGCTATGGAAGGGACAGAAAGGTTTTCCGGGTGACAGTGGGAGCAAATGTGAGACCCAGTCCTTGACCTGGTAAGGAGGTGGCAGGAGAAGCATGCTGTGTGATTAGAGGGTGACCCACTATCCCACCATCTAGAACATGGGTCCTCAAACTATGGCCCGCGGGATGGATCCGGCCCACCATGGCCATCCATCCGGCCCGCGCCACCATTTGCCGCCTGCGCACACGCTTGCTGCGTGTGCAGGGAGGCGGTGGCTTGCTCACTCAGAGATGGACTCCGAGGGAGCAGGCCGCCACCGCCGCCTGCCCCCTGTACGCACACGCTCGCTGCTGCCTCACAGCATGGGCAGGGAGGTGGCGGCTTGCTCGCTCGGAAATGGTTTTGGACTCGCTGGGAGATCTCCGAGCGAGCCACTGCCGTGCACGCGCACCCAATGCCACCTCACCAGCCTGTGCCCCCAGGCACCCCCACCTCACCGGCCCACGACGGTCACCGCAGCCTTTCAGCTGGCCCCCTATTGAAAAAGTTTGAGGGTCACTGGTCTAGAACTTAAGCAGCAAGAGCCACCCTGAGGGTGGACCCAGAAGCTTTACTGAAAGGGTGGGACAGAGGGGAAGCTTTCAGTTTGGTTTCAACTCTTTACATGAGCAGATGCTTCTCCCTCAACTTTAGCAGGCCATTTAGTGTTCAAACTGTTCTGTAATCTGTTAAGTTTCAGTAAAAGAATTGCAGTTCAAAGGGTTGTCTTGAGTCTGAGAAACAGAGGGAAAAGAGGGAAGAGAATAGCTCATGACAAGCAGGGCTTAAATGTCCTCTCGCTTGGAAGTCCTGATGCTTAAAAACCCCTAGGTGTGCTGAGCAGAAATAGAAAACAAAAGTCAGGCTGCATATGTACAAGAGCAGCCTGTTCCTTTGGAAACATGGTTGATGGGGAATATTTTATGACAATGTACTCCATCAGGGGCTGCCCTTGAAGAGCAAATGCAAAATGCAATGGTCAAATTGCTTTCTGGTGCATGCTTTGCAGACCTTATTATGTCAACTCTACTGACTGCCAGTTTATACCCAGGTTCATTTCAAGGTGTACCTTCTACTGGTCCAGGATAACAAAAATACTGCTTTCACCCAAATGCAGGTTAAGATCCTATAGTTTAAGCTGCCTGAAGTTTAAGTTCCTCCTTGGAGGCCCCTCCTGCATGCCTCACCATCAAGGGAGAGTAGGATGGTGGAAACTTGGGACAGGGCCTTGTCTGTGGTAGCACTCATTTGTGGAACTCTCTCCCAGTGGAAGTTACACTGGCTCCTTTTTTGTTTAGTTTTGGACAGGTATTAATGTTTTGTTTGTTCTACATGGTTTTTGTTTTGTTTTTAAAGGAGAGCATTTTTTAGAGTGCTGAGGGCTGGACTTGGTGGTTGGGCTCTGCAGGCTGAGCCCTTCACAGCTGGTGTGGAAGAATCACGGCAAGGTTGCAGCTCAGCGTGCTGTGGGGAAGAGGGAAGGCTGGGGCTGCACAATGATTGCAGCTGGTGCCCCAGTGTCCTTCCTGCCTTCTTTGCTAAACCTACGCAGCTGAAAATGGCCATCTGAAGAAAATGAAGGGCACTAGATGTGACCCCACTGTTGTGCTCCCTTTCTCTCACCCCTGGAATTTGAAAAGCTCCTGAGTATGGAAGCTTGTGAGGACCTCTTTGGGCAGTGGGGAGAACTGTGTCTTCAATGTATTAGCTTCACATTTTCTTTTTATGAGTCTCTTCTGCTCCTCATGTTGCTACAGGTGACATTTAAAGTTTTTGGGTTATTCTTGAATTGTTTTACTTTTCTTTTTATGTGTTAAAATTCTTTTAAGTTCTTGAACCTACTTGGGCCAAAAGGTGTTTTATAAATAAATAGCATATAAATTGCTTGTACAATGTCTGAATTTTTTACTGTTGTATTTAATTTCAAACCATTCAAGCATTTTACAAGATTATGAAAGACCTTCCCAGGACTACAGGAATTCTCTTATATCAGTCAATGGGCTGAAGTGGAACTCAGAGGGAACCAGAGGGATGAGCATATACAGGCCAAATACTGTACAATTTTGCTTTATACCGATCAAAGATGCAACAATCAAGTTTTAGGAATGACAAAGGCTCCAAGCCAACATGAACTACAGTCCCTGTAGACTAGTCGCTTACCTGCCCCAGCTGACAGCTCTCTCCATTGGATCTGACTCAGGAAGGTGGTCCCCAGCAAAACTGATTGTTTGGATCCGATAGCCACGTTTATGACCCCACTTGTTTGTGCTATCCGCTTCAAAATATACATATCTCGGCATGTTGTCATGAAGACGGAAGGCAGCTTTGTCTTCAGTATCCAAGACATTTTTCACCATTTTCATTTGGACAATCTCTCGGTCTTGGCTCCAAGGGACCTTTATTCTGTCAAATTTCATGTCATTGGCTACCAAGGAATTTTTCACACCTAGAAAAGGAAAGGTGGTGTTGTGGAGAGGGTTATGAGCTGTTTAGTTAATATATTTCCATACTGGTGGAATTATTCTAGGCATGAGGATGCATTGAAGAGAAAAGCTTAATGTACATGATTTCCCAGTATCACACCTTCATTATGAATATAGGAGTGGGACAAGAATAAAAAAGAAGAAAGATGGTTTTAAAATCAAATCTTTACACAAAGAAAGTCGGATTTCTTAGCTTTTCCAGGAGATGGTGAATTTACTTTTCAGGACAGGCATAGTCAGAATGCAAGATTACAAGATGAGTTTTTAAAGTAGGAGCAGATGCAAAGGAGTGGTTTGAGGATGGGATGCAGGGAGGAGCAGAGGAGGCAGATGCAACCTGTTGGCTCGGAAACCAGTTCCACACTACACCTGCCCTCCATGTGCCATACACTGACTGCACACACCTTGCATATTTACACATGGACAAATTTATAGTCATTATAATATAGCTCTAATGATCTAATCTGAGGAGCACTGAAAGAACAAACAATAATTCAATCAATGCAATGGATTGTCACAATCCAAATATCCAACATGTATATAATATATTTAATTCAACTTGGCAATTATAATCAGACAGATCTTTTAAAAGGCTGTTATAAAACATGGAACATGCCTCAAAAAGTTCATCCTGAACCTGGGTGGATAAACAAAACAATGGCAGTCATCTACAATTGTTTTGCATCACAAAATCCATGAAATTGCTTACTGCAAGACTACCATGACATGATTTCTTTTATGATTGACACAAATTATACATCTGTTCCATGTCTATAAGGTTTTTTTAAAAAAATCTATACACGGCTGCGAAACAAAGTGCTCATGAATTTTGGAGCTTATGGGGATGTAGTGGAAGAACATGTTTGCCTTTATTATCCATGTTTGCACTTTCATGCAATTTTAGAACATCTACACATTTTTCTTGTCCCTGTGAAAGCTCTGGGACATATGTGTAATAATGCCTCTCAAGCAAAACACTGAGGCAAGAAGTGTTGTAGCAACTTAGGCTAAATAGTTTATTTTCTTCCTTTCTTTCAAATGATTTTTCAGACTTCCTCTGAGGATAGAAGCATCTCAAGGTGGTGTACCTTGGGCTCCTTGCAAAAGGCAAAAAGTCTGGATATAAATGTTACTAAATAAAAAATAAGAAAAATAGAAAAGCAATCAACAAATATGCAGTAAAACACTTTAAGAGGCAACATCAATAAAACCTGTAGCCCACAGATTATGTAAAGGCCAACAAAATAAGTGGGTCTTTAATGCTTTCCTGAATACCTGCAATTCAACTAGAAATACTTCTACTGGCACCCTGTCCACTATGGGTGCTTTACTCCTTCCAAGTGCATTCAGAGCAGCTTTAGGTTCACTTTCCACTATCTCCGGTTGTTTCTCATAGGACTCCTCTTTCCATCTTGTTGATGTTTTCTGCATAATTCTTCTGGCACCTTGGCCAACCATCAAGCCAAACTACCCCTCCCAAAGCAGTTGGTGGGCATCCTTTTAGGCAGTCACACCCAGGTGGTGCCGCCAATTGCAAGGTGACAGCGGCTGCGCGCTTGGTGGTGAGGCTACTGCCTTCACTAGGAAGGACATGGCTTACAGGAAGGAGGCAATTAAGTGCCGCCCTTTCTTCAAGGAGTCCTCCTGGCTCAGGTGCAGCAGATGGCAGCATTGCAGTAGGCATCATGGCCAAGTTGAACTGAGCTGCCCATCCAAAGTGGCTGGAGGTGGTTCTCCTGAGCACTGTCCTGCCCTGTGCCCACAAACACCCAGTCTAAGAATCATCAGTTCAGTCCAAGAGTTAAGGCCGTATGGTTTGTGTGTGTGTCCGAAGTTCCAAGTCAAACAGGATTGTCCAAAAGAATGTCCAGTAGACAGGCCAGAAATCTAGATACTGTTTAGTTTTAAGGAAGTCAGAGAATGTGGATAACAAAGTTTGTTTACCACAAAGAGCAGCTCTGTCTGATCTAATTTATAGCCAGCTGGAAATCAGCACAGCTGAGTAATTCCATACGCTGCTTCAGAGAAAACTCCCCCTTCAGCCTGTTTGGACTTTGGTCGAAGCTGTGCACTCCTTCTTCTAGTTAGGGGGTGAATTTCCTCTGCCTGTGGCTCCTGCTCTTGAGGAACCCCAGGTACTGCCCAGGAGGGAGCTGGTGGCTCCTCTACGGGAGGCAGTCATCTGCAGCCACAATCCCTGTGTCTGACTGTGGATAGGGCTCAAGGAATTGGCTTTCTTCACCTGAGGAATCCTCCTCCAAGTAGGAGATGACAGGCACTCATGCCCAGGCGGTGGTGCCTAGAGCAGGGTGGCCGTGGCTGCATGCTTGGGAGTGAGGCCACCATGTTTACTGGGGAAGGCATCATGCCTTACAGGAGGAAGGCAATTAAGTCCCACCCATGCGTCTTCATGGAGCCTCATGTCTGTTCAGGAAACATAGAAACATAGACAAAGAAACGGATGGGGCTTCAACGACCTCCCATGGAAGCCCATTTCATGCCCTAGGCGTCCTAACTGTCAGGAAGTACATCCTGGCATCCAAATTGAACCTTGCTTCCCTGAGCTTCACTCCATTGGAAAGCACCCTGCCTTCCTCTGCAGGTCTGTGTGGCACCCTCTTACGTACCTATATGTCATCAAAAGAGTGCCCTGGAGTCCCCTCTTCTCCAGGCTGAAAAGATCCAGTTCCCTCAGTCTCACCTCATACAGCTTCCCCTGCAATCTGGCCACCATCTTTGTGGCCCTAAGCCACACCGATTCTAAACTGGCTATAGCTTTCCTGCAATGTGGAGCTCAGAACTGAACACAATACTCCAGTTGCAGGTTCACCAGAGTCTTATAGAGTGAAAGTAATATCTCACTAGGTCTAGAAGCCACACTTCTAGCTATGCATCCAAGGGTGGCATTTGCCCTCTTGACCACCGCATCACACTGCTGATTCATGTTTAGCCTGCAGTAGACCAGTACACTGAGATCCATTTCACAAGTGCTGCTTTCCAGCCACTTGTCCCCTATCCTGTACCTGTGACACCTATTCCTGAGTCCCAAGTGCAAGACCTTGCACTTATCTGCATTGAACTCCATCCATCCTCTTGCTCCCTGCACCACTTCCACAGTCTGTCCAGATCCTTCTGGATCCAGAATACCTGCTCCTCAGTTGTGGCCACTGCCCCATTTTAGTATTGTCTGCAAACTGGTCACACCCTCTTCCAGGTCATTGATGAAAAGATTGAACAGGATCGGCCCCAGGACAGAGCCCTGGGGGACCCCTCTCACCACCAGCTCCCATCCTGATGATTCTCTACTAATTGCTACCCTCTGCTTTTAGACCGTCAGCCATGCCCTAATCCATGGGTCCTCAAACTACCGCCCAGGGGCCGGAAACAGCTTGCCATGCCCATTTATCCAGCCCACTATGCCCATTTGGACCCACCGTGCCTCAGTTTCTCCACCAGGATATCATGGGGCACTTTGTCAAAGGCCTTGCTGAAATCCAGGTATACCACATCCACTGCATCCCCTCCATCTAGCCACCTCGAAACCTTGTCATAGAATTCCACAAGGTTTGTCTGGCAGGACCTGTTTTGCAGAAGCCATGTTGCAGGGTGGCAGGGTCACAGGTGGCACCATGGCCAGGTACCAAGCTGATCTCCCGCCCCAAAATGGCTGGCAGGGGAACCTCCTGGGGGTTGTCGCAAAGGTGGCGCAAAGGTAGGTTACACGGGGGGTGGGGGGTGGGGGGTGGGAACCAGCCTAGTGCAGGCTGGCAAGCCTTGGCCAGAGTGGAAGTGTAGTCAGCAGTCCACATCTACACTCTCATGGAGCTGCATCAGCAGCACCCATCCTGGACCCGAGGATTACAGGTGGAGGCAAATTTGCATGCCATCCTTGGAACCAACGCACCAGCCCCACAGTGCAGGTCAGGCCTGCCCCCAAAGGAGTCTCTTGTCCCTTCAGGCCTTGCTTTTTGTACAGACTCCTTGGTGTTCTTAGCCAATTTGGAGGTGCAGGAAGCCCATGGTTGGAGCCAGCACTGCAGGAGACACAGGTTCCTTAGCTTGTACTTTAATTCAGATGGAAGGCTAACAGTTTAGAAATAGAAGTGGGGGGGGGGGGAATGCGCCAAAGAAAAAGACAGACAGAAAATGGTCTTCCCAAGGCACAGCAGAAGGCAGTTGAAGAACTGAGGAAATGGGCAGAAATTTCTTGCACATACACCAGACACCAGAATGGGGGAGCGGCTCCCGCCAAAATGTTCTCAGCTATCGAATCTTCCTGACAACAGGCTCCACAAAGGTGCAGAGCTCATATGAGTGATGCACAGAGGCCATGAATAAGAACTGGTAATAATGTATTGTTTCAAGTTGACATTAACCAATCACATTTCTTCCACAATGTGGCTGCATTTTGGTTGTTATATGGCACCCTCTTCTGGGTGAGAGATACTTTGCTCTGAAATTTAACGTATTGAGTATCAAGCAGAGATTCCAAATGAAGCTTTTTGCTATTGCCTTCCCTCATTCAGACATTATCTCCCAGTAGTAACACTCCCATGCTTTACCTTAAAAATCCATCAAGGAAAAAAAAAACCCCAGAATAAGCACACAAGACTTTCTGATCTGTAGCATTCACCTGTAAGCACCCAAACGCTGCAGTGGTAGAGATCCACTCAAAGGGTGGGAGGGGATGCATTCTTGTAATGAATGGCATCTGACTCAGGGAATGGCATCAATGATGCTTCTCTGGCCATTCCTACAGTCCCTGGTGGTAGAGACTGAGAGATTTATGAGCTGCTAATTGCGAACTGATGACATACCCTTCAATAGCTTGGATGACATTGCAGGAGATAATGAATTAGAACATGGGTCCTCAAACTACGGCCTGGGGGCCGGATCCGGCCCGCCATGCCCATTTGGACCCACTGCGCCCACACACGCGCCCGCCGCCGCCCACCTTGCGCGCGGGGAGGCAGTGGTTTTCTCGCTTGGTGAAAACCATTTCCAAGCAAGCCGGCTGCTGCCTCACGCGCCTGCCTCGCAGCGAGTGCCCGCCCGCGCCTCGCCTCGCCGCACGCCCCACCTGCACCTCAGCACACGCAGCCGCACGCGCTCCCCCGCCCCGCGCCGGCCCGCATGACCCGCCAGCACCACCTTTCCGGCCAGCGCCCAGCACCGGCAGCTGTCAACTGGCCCCCTGGTGGAAAAGTGTGAGGACCCCTGAATTAGAAGAATGATAAACCATGGCTTTTCATAGAAGAATGGAGCCTGGCATTGTCTTCAAGTTAAACTTCAGGAAAAATCCCAGTTTTAATTTCCTCTTTTAAAAAGTAAGGCTTAAGGCTTCATGACATAGACAGATTTTATACACACACACACTAATGAAGGCTTAGGAACAAGAACTGAGTAAGAATTCCAGTGGGTATCAGGGAGTCTTATTAAGAACATAAGAAAAGCCATGCTGGATCAGACCAAGGGTCCATCTAAGTCCAGCACTCCGCACACATAGTGGCAAACCAGCTGCCCACAGGATCCTGAAGCAGGATGGGTGCAAGACCTCCTTCCACCCAAGCTCCTCAGCAACCAGTGTATGCCGGCAATGTCACCTCTGGTGAAGGAAGCAGCACACAGCTAGCAAGGCTAGTAGTCACTGATAGCTTCTTTTTGCATGAATCTGCCCATTTCCTTTTTAAGGCCATCCAGATTAGTGGCCATTATTACTTCACTTGGCAACAAATTTCATAGTTCAACTGTACATTGTGTGAAGAGATACATTGTCTGTCCTGAACCATCTTCCAATCAGCTTCATTGAATGTCTCCAGGTTCAAGTCTTATGGGAGAGGAAAAATGTCTCCATGTCCATTTTCTTTATGCTGTGCATAATTTTTAACATCTCTACCATGTCCTTCCCTACTTTTTTTCTGAGCTGAACAATCCCAGTTTTCTTAGCCACTCATAGGAGAGTTGCTTCAGCCCTCTGATAATTTTTGTTGGACTTCCCTATACTTTTTTCAATTCAACAATATCCTTATTCAGGTGAGGCAACCAGAACTGGACATAATATTCTAAGTGTGGTCATACCAAGGGTTTGTTTGAGGGGAGTAAGATCTCGGCAGTTCTGTTTCATTCCTAATTATGCCTCCCATGGGATTTGCACTTTTCATGGCAGCCACGCACGGGGCCAGCACTCTCATCGAGCTGTCCACTATTACCCCAAGGTCCCTTTCTTGCTCAGCCACTGCTACCTCCAATCCCATCACAATGTATTTTTGTAGTTTTTTGTCCCAACATGGATTACTTCACACTTACATTGAACTGCATTTCCCATTTTGATGACCTTTCTGCCACCTTGGTGAAATCTCTTTGGAGTTCCTCACAATTCATTTTGACCAACCTAAATAGTTTGGTGTCCTCAGCAAACCTGGCCACGTATTTGCCCTAGCTTTCTTCATTAGCTATTTACTCAGTCCCCTGATTAATTAAAATTACCCTCTTTGCAATTTTCCAGAGATTAAAAAATGGGATGATATAGAAGACAGACAAGAAGCAACAGTGATGTTTAGCAGAGCTGCCAACGATAGCAACAAATGGTGCAAGTTACTGTTTCACAAGAACTTACCTCCCACATCTAAGTCCACTTTGTAGTTGATTAAATGAGTATGGATTGTGCCAAGAGTGGAATCTGCAACTCTATTGCCATAATTCAGAGCATCACCATAAAGGAAAGATGAGGTTATGTAACCAGTGGCTCGGACTTTGCTTTCAATGGCACCATTTGGATGAAATACAAAGTCCCAGATGTAGTCATAGTTGCCCAAAGTAGACACAGAACGCAGTACAATTGCGTAGCCAGATAGCCCCCCATAGTGGAGAGATTGAAGGTTGGAGTAATGGCGCCGAAAGGGCCCATCTATACTCTGCTCAAACACACAAATGGAGTTCTTCTGTACTTCTGGTTTTAAGTTTTCAACTAAATAAACAGCATCAAGATAGGTGGCAGAGTAAGGGCAATCAACTCCCCGGACCAGTGAATACATGAATCTTCCAATTCCAAAACTTGCATCCATATAGCGGGTTAACATCTGAGTGGGGCAATTGGAGCCATAGACAGACATGGCATCCTGCACACTGAGTTCATAGACAATTCTTTGATCCTTAAATTTGATGTTGTAGATATGTACTCCTCTATGCACATCTATCCTGAAGGCAAAACTCCAAGATGAAGAAACTACCTGGTTCTTCTTCACACTATAACGTAGCCCACAAGGCTCATGGTGCAAAGGACCACATCCCAGAGTGGGGACCTTTCGATACATTGAGGAAAACCCCCCATCAGGTGAGACAGTCTTTAATTTTGCCACAAGCACCCGCTTCTCTATAAATTCCCTTTCCAGTTCTGCCATACCATTATAATACTGACCATTGTAGAATACCTTTGCCACACTCCAGTTGGTGATGTTCAGACCGCTGTGGTTTACTAGCACTTCCATTCCCACTGGATGTAGGAAGTAGCCTTTTACATTCTGGAACAAGCTGAACCAAGTAGCACGATCTCCAGACTGAAACCCCCGAGGGGCTGATGTAAGGCCTGCAAAGTTGCTTCCATTGTGTCCAAATACCTGATTCAGGAAAGTGGGTGCCTCAGGAAATTTCTTCTCCACCATGAATTTCCGAATCTGTTCATATTCATTGCCCATCACAGTTCTTCCATGATAGGATATCTTGCTTCTGTATTTCTGTGTGGTCACATCCCGATGATATGTCAGTTTTGGGAGTGGGCCCACTACATATTCCGTGATATTTGGATCTGGCTGGTTTCCAAAGAACACCACAGCTAGTGCCTCTCGCGGTGGTTGCGGCCCACCATGATCAAGGAACTTAAGCACCTCTTCTTTGCTGGGAAGTTCAATATCCAGGTAGTAAATGCAATTATCAGAAGAGCCTGCATGATAAGCATCTACCAAGGGCAATCTCAGCTCCGACTGTAGATACTTCAGGACCAGGGCTATCTCTTCTGCTGACAAGGCAGCAAATACCAGACTCTGGTCATTGTGCATTTCATTCAGAGAAGGTTGTATCTCAGCAGCACATGGAGCAGAACTTGCGCTCCTTGTCAGGAGCACACACACCAGGGCAAGAATAGCAACCAGAGCAAGCATGACAAGGACAAAGAGGGCTTTTACATTCATTGCTGCAAGGAAATGCCTTGCAGCCCCTGCAAATGTTTTCACAAAGTCAGTCCTGACGTGTTGAGTCAGCTGCTATTGTACCTACACAACAGGATGCATGGCTTACTCCAGGAAATGTGACGTGCTTGAGTAGAGGCCAAAAGGAGGTCTCTTAGCACTTATGGACTTGGTAAAACAGCAGAACTGACCGTTCCCAGTCAGTATTGACAGTTCATCACAGATAAAACTTTCTAGGGCCTTGGATAGCAATTGCTGTCTTTCATATGGTGCCTTTATAGCAAAATTGTGCACCAATGGAAGGGATCCTAGTATCGGGCTGGCCACCTCGGTCTCAACCATTCCAGAAACACCCTTTCACATTGCTCATTCTAGTTACAAGTTTGAAATGCTCTCATCTCTCTGCTCCATGATAAAAGGATGGGTTTGTACTTTACAGTCTTGAAAACCAACCTCTGCCCTAGTTGTGGTATAGTAAGGGAAACAGGTGCTCACCTTGAACAACTTGCCATTTTATGCTTATTTGTGCAACACTGGTGTGCTGGTGAGTTGGCATAAAGGCAGAGCAAACAGCAGCAACACTCTGAAGAGAAATCAGAACATTTGGCTGGATTATAGGTAGTCGTGAAACAACCAAAAAAGATTCATAGGATTGTACCCATTGCTCATGGGAAAGCTTAAAATAAGCCTGGGGGAGATGCTGATCATGTAACTCCTCAGCTTTTCCCTGAAACTGTAAGAGACTGAAGCTGACTGAGAAACATGGCTCCAGAGCAACAGGGCAGGTCAGCAAGAGCAGCTGAGAAGCCGTCACTTGCTAAGAGTCAAGAGACTTTTGTTCTTTCAGGCCATGCCAAGTACATGAAAAGCTGGACTGTAGGTACTGAAACCTGAGAAAGGGTAACATTTCTCACATGATGGAAATGCGAGACGTGATGGGCTGCAGCCTTGTATACAGAGATTCTTGCCTGGATCTCATGTCAATCCTTCTTAGAGCAGTCCCACTGAAACAAACTGGACTTCAGTAAGCCAGTACTACTTTAAGTTTCATTCATTTCAGTAGAACTACTTTAAAATTGACACACCACTTTGATTATGGATGGGAAAGCTTGGTAATAGCCTAGAATGCCAAATTACAGGGAGCACCAACTTTGTTTTCTAAAACAGTCAACAGGATAGCAAAAAGCAAATGTCTATAACATTTTTTCAAGGTTCTGCAGGATTTTGGTTGCCAACTGTAAAAATAGCCTTCCCACAAACTAGCTTTAAAGCATATTTATTTTTCAACTTCAACTTTGCTGTAACTTCTTTGAGGTCAGAATTAGTAAAACAGCTTTAATGTTACTGAGCATTTAGCATATTAAATACTGTAAATGCTACAGGCACTGCATAAATAACAATAAAGCTGTAAAAGGTCAGCTGCATACCCTTTTCTTTATTCTTTTTAAAAATAAAACTAATGGATATTCTAGAAGAAACTTCAGTATTCAAAAATGAAGAATGCTTACCAAGAAAAACCTGTGGTGTTTCCACTGTGTAGCATAGTCTCTGGCTTGTGCAAACTGTAGCACAGTGGTCAAGATATCAAGACTTTTAATAAATGTATTCTCATAGCAAGTTATCTCAGCTTCTCATTTACCATGGAAGATAGCAAGTACATTGTAATGACCTTCAATTCTGAGAAGCTACACTCACTACTGGCAACTATAACTGGAAGTGTCAGGAGAATTCATAGTGTTACCTTGTTAGAGAGATATTTGTTGTCTTGGTATCATGGATATACTTGAGGGAATCTTGGGGTGGACATGACCCAGCTCAGCAAAAAGATCTGCACCATCAATGCTGGAATAGCTGCCATTGGTGAGAGTTCTGTATAGATCTATATAGTGGGTTAAAAAGTCTCTTCTGGAAGCTTTCCAAGTCTGTACAATAATTACCATGTGTTCCTGTGAGAGTCAAACTGCTGAAATCACATCAGTTCAAAGGTAAGCGGTGCTGACAACAGTGTTAAAAAACTCTCATTTGAAGGCTCCTACCTGGACGGGTGATTTCAGAAAATGGTGTTGGAGATTCCATGGCCATTTGTCTGTGGAGTGCTCAGGGCTGGATTTTCTCTTCCATGCTATTTTCACACATGCATGAAAAGGCTGAGAGACATTGTCCAGAGTTTTGGAATCTGGTGCCACTAAGTATGCTAATGACACTCAATTCCATCTCTCCTTTCTGTCTAAATCTAAGGAAGCTGTTCGAGTCCTAAACTGTCTCTGATGTCAAAAGTGGACTGGATGAGGGCAAACAGATGGAATCCAGGGAAGATAGAGATACTCCTGGTTAGTTAGTGGTGGCCAGACAGTTGACTGCGGCTACAGTGAGCAGTCATCTCCTAGTCATGACAACTTCACACAGGCTACTGATGTTTCTGAATTCAAACTGCTGGTTATGATTTGTAAAGCCCTTTGGTTTGGGACCAAGCATTCTAAAAGTCTGTATTCTCCCACATGAACTGGCTTCAAAAGAGTCCTTCTTTTGAGACTGTTGCCTTCAGAGACACCTTCAGTGGTGATGCAAAGAGCAGCTTTCTTGGTGACTATTCAGAGGGTGAAAAATGCCCTATTGAGGGAGGGTAGCTTTGCTCTCTCCCTGCTGCTCTTCAACCCCCTCTTTGCTATTCCTGGATATCAAGGCAATACCTTTTCATTCAAGCTGGCATATAAGTGGATCTGTTGGGTGGGATGTTGTTTTCATTCTGTGCTTTTAATTGTGGTTTAATGCATTTGTTCTATTGTTTTAATCAAGTTTTATTTATGGTTTTAAGCACGCTTGAGTGCCTTTTTTGATAGAAGGATGAGATAACATATGAAATAATGTCAAACTTTTTAAGTATCTCAGAAAAAAGCAGGAAGAACCACTCTGCTCCCTTATCAACTGTAGACAAAATGAAAATTGTTCAGTTATTAGAAAATGGATTTAAGTTAAACATTTAATAACACTCTCTCACATGGGAGCACCTGCTTGGACACAACTTGATTAGGGAGATGGTTGAATACCCTCCATTGGAAATTTTCCAGGAACAAGCTGGAACTTTTTAAGTTCAGGGTGACAACAAAGCTTGTGGAGGAGACAGTATTCCAGCTGAGCTATTCAAAATCCTAAAAGACAATGCAGTAAAAGTGCTATACTCAGTAAGCCAGCAAATTTGGAAAACACAACAGTGGCCACAGGATTGGAAAAGGTCAGTTTACATTCCAATTCCAAAGAAGGGCAATGCCAAAGAATGTTCAGACTACCGCACCATTGCACTCATTTCACATGCTAGCAAAGTGATGCTCAAAATCCTACAAGCTAGGCTCCAGCAGTATGTGGACTGAGAACTACCAGAAGTACAGGCAGGGTTTCGCAGAGGGAGAGGAACTAGAGATCAAATTGCCAACATACGCTGGATCATGGATAAAGCTAGGGAGTTCCAGAAAAACATCTACTTCTGCTTCATTGACTATGCTAAAGCCTTTGATTGTGTGGATCACAACAAATTGTGGCAAGTTCTTCAAGAGATGGGAGTCCCAGACCATCTTATTTGTCTCTTGAGAAATCTGTATGCTGATCAAAAAGCAACAGTGAGAACTGGACATGGAACTACTGATTGGTTCAACATTGGGAATGAGTTCAGCAAGGCTGCATACTGTCACCCTGCCTATTTAACTTGTATGCAGAGCACATCATGAGAAAGGCAGGGCTGGATGAATCACCAGTTGGAATTAAGATTGCTGGGAGAAATATCAACAACCTCAGATATGCAGATGATACCACTCTAATGGCAGAAAGTGAAGAGGAACTTAGGAGACTCTTGATGCAGGTGGAAGAGGAGAGCACAAAAGCTGGCTTGAAACTCAACATCAAGAAAACTAAGATCATGGCATCCGATCCTCTCACTTCCCAGCAAATAGATGGGGAAGAAATGGAGGTAGTGACAGATTTTATTTTCCTGGGCTCCAAGATCACCGCAGATGGGGACTGCAACCAAGAAGACGCTTGCTCCTGGGGAGGAAAGCTATGGCAAATCTAGACAGCGTACTAAAAAGCAGAGACATCACCCTGCCAACAAAAGTGTGTATACTCAAGGCTATGGTTTTCCCAGTTGCAATGTATGGCTGTGAAAGTTGGACCATAAGGAAGGCCAAAGGATTGAGGCCTTTGAAGTGTGGTGCTAGAGGAGACTCCTGCGAGTCCCTTGGACTGCAAGACGATCAAACCAGTCAGTCCGAGAGGAGATCAAACCTGACTGCTCTTTAGAAGGCCAGATAGTGAAGATGAAACTCAAATACTTTGGCCACCTAATGAGAAGGAAGGACTCCCTGGAGAAGAGCCTAATGCTGGGAACAATAGATGGCAAAAGAAGAAGGGGACGACAGAGGATGAGGTGGCTAGATGGAGTCACTGAAGCAGTTGGCATGAGCTTATGTGGACTCCGAGGGATGGCGGAGGACAAGAAGGCCTGGACGAATGTTGTTCATGGGGTCGCGATGGGTCGGACACAACTTCGCGACTAACAACAACAACATCCTGTCCTCAGGAGAAAGCTGGCCTCCATGATCCACCCAGTCTTTTCCAATTCTATAGTTCTTTGAAAGAATACAGAACTATCACAACCACATTCCTTCTATTCAATTACACTTTAGCACACTCTTTGCCAGAGCTTTTGCAAAGCCTCAATGTTTTCTGTGTATCTTCTATCAGCACACTGCCAGGGAGATACTCAAGAGCTAACTAGACACTGCTTGGATGCAGATAGACCCAGGGATTTTTTTTGTCATAGAATGCACCGGAACAGTGTTCCGGCACCATTTTTTGATGGATTTTTCCAAGTGATTGTGAATCGCCCTGTTGGGTGTAGCAGATTGGCGGCAAAAATCATTAACATAGTGCCTGCAGGCTGCTTGTTTGTTGGCGTTGATTGTGAGGACGCCGCTAGGCTTGGGATCAGTCATGTGGTCACGCACTGAGTGCTTACTGCCGGTGGCGACCTGAGTGCTTACTGCCGGTGTAAAAGTGTGACCCCAAGACGTGAGTTCCGGCACCATTTTTTTTTTTTTGTTTTACAAAAAAGGCACTGGATAGACCTATCTCCTATTTTAAATAAAGGGAAAACACCCTGAGAGGCTGTATTCAGGAACAGAAATAGAGTGACTGTGTTACATCTCTTTCCCTTCCTGCCAAGGTCCCATATATTTGCACCCACGAGAGGGGAAGCAGGTTTGGGAGTGGACCAGAACAGACAAATGTCATGAAGGAGGAAGGCTTAATAGTTCCCCACTTCTCTGTTATTGATTATAGCCTAAGGAGGCTGCTTTCCATTTTTTAGAACTATGAAAGTAACTTGCCTCCCCTGTGATGGTTAGAAACACAGAAACATAGGAACAGAACGAGTCAGAAGGATCCTCCCGGGCCATCTAGTCTGACCTCCGGCACCAGCTGGCTCCGCTCACGACATGCCCATCATGTGCATGTCCAGCCTATCCTTGAACACCTGCACCGATGGGGCCTCAACGACCTCTCGTGGAAGTCCATTCCACACCCTCGGGGTCCTGACTGTCAGAAAGTGCTTCCTGGCATCTAAATAGAACCTTGGTTCCCTGAGCTTTGCTCCGTTGGAGCGCGTCCTGCCTTCCTCTGCAGGGGAGAACAGGTCTCTACCCACCTCCATGTGACATCCCCTCACATACCTGCATGTTGCCAACATGTCCCCTCTGAGTCTCTTCTCCAGGCTGAAGAGACCCAGTTCCCTCAGTCTCGCCTCATACGGCTTTCCCTGCAAACCGGCCACCAACCTTGTGGCCCTACGCTGCACTGACTCTAACCTGGCTATATCCTTCCTGTAATGAGGGGCCCAAAACTGAGCACAATACTCCGGTTGCGGGCGCACCAGAGTCGTATAGAGTGGTAGTAATACGTCTCTTGATGTAGAAGCATTCGCCCTCTTGACCACCGCATCACACTGCTGACTCATGTTTAGCCTGCAGTCAACCAGTACCCCGAGGTCCCTTTCACAAGTGCTGCTCTCCAGCCACTTGTCCCCTAACCTGTACTTATGACACCCATTCCTATGCCCCAAGAGCAAGACCTTGCACTTATCCACATTGAACGCCATCCTGTTGTCTCCTGCCCACTTCCACAGTCTGTTCAGATCCTTTGGATCTGGAGTACCTGCTCCTCAGTTGTGGCCACTGCTCCAGTTTCAGTGTCGTCTGCGAATTTGATCAGCAGACTGTTCACCCCTTCTTCCATGTCATTGATGAAAAGATTAAACAGGATCGGATGAGGACAGAGCCCTGGGGGACCCCACTTGTCACTGGCCGCCATCCCGATGATTCCCCACTAATGGTTACCTTCTGCTTTCAGTCAGTCAACCATGCCCTAATCCACCGGACAGTGCTTTGGTGTATCCCAAAACTCCTCAGTTTCTCCAACAGGATATCATGGGGCACTTTGTCAAAGGCCTTGCTGAAATCCAGGTATACCACATCCACTGCATCCCCTCCATCTAGCCATCTCAAAACCTTGTCATAGAATTCCACAAGGTTTGTCTGGCAGGACCTGTTTTTGCGGAAGCTGTGTTGTGTGGCAGTCAGCCTCCCTTCCCTATCTAGCATCACTAGATCTCTCTCTATTATGAGCCTTTCCATTGTTTTTCCTACAATGGACAAAAGGCTAACAGGTCTGTAATTCCCCATGCCCCTTCTACTACCCTTTTTGAAACTTGGGACCACTGATGCCACCCTTCAGTCCTCTGGAACTTCACCCGTTTTCCACGAGGCCTCAAAAATGGAGGCTAGCGGGCGTGAGAAAACCCCTGCCAACTCTCTAAGTACTCTCGGGTGTACCCCTCAGGGCCTGGCGCCTATGTAATATCCAATGCCCTGAGGAGCCCCTCGACTTCAAGGGGGTGACTCTAATCTGTGCCCCTAAGTCCCCAGCCTCATCTAATCTCCTATGCAGATATCCCCCATCCTGCTTTGGGGAGAACACAGAGGCAAAATAGTCATTTAGCATCTGTGCTTATTCCCTCATATCAGTCACTGGATCTCCTTCCTCCTTATTTAGTGGTCCCACCACTTGTCTCCCCTTCTTCTTCCTATTTACATGCTGAAAGAAGCCCTTTTTGTTGCTCTTGATATTC